GGTCCTAGTGACAACTAAGGAAGGACAACGACGAAGCCTAAGTTATGCTTAGTTATAACGGGAGCAACTGAAAAATAATCAAATCTTTGAAAAGTAAATTATTTTTGCTGAAATTCCATCACGTTTCTTCTTTGAGCATCTCCCTATAAAGACGGCTTAAATGAAAATTATGCGTTCACGTAAGTGTATCGTATAATTATTGGTGTATTATTAATTAAGCGAAGTACAGGTTTTTATTTTCAAATTTTGTGGCAGTGATGCCAAGTTGGAAATGCAAGTTCCGTATAATGGTGTGCTTTTCTCGAGTCCTCTACCCAAGTTATTTATAGAATATGGCGAAAACACCAATTTTATAAAATGTAGACGAAGAATTTTGCTCAAATTTTAAAAGCACATTTTTTTTATAATTTTGCTTTAGATTAATTTAAACAATGATCATCATCAATATTTATATTCTCATAAAATGAACAAAAAATTGTTAAACACATTTATGTGAATGTACTTGCTACACTCCCATGTACATTATTTACGTAGAATTTTATAAAAATGTTCGCCCTTATTTATTAAATACACAATATCAAAACCGCCGAGACGCATAAAAACATCTACCCACATGAATTAAAAAAAAAAAAGAAAGAAAGAAGTACAGCGGCGAGCAAAACTTTAACACTTGGTTAGTCGCTTTTGTATTTATGCGTCCATGTGTATTCGATAAAACTTATAAGTAGTAAATACGTGCGAAATTCACTTTCTAAAATCGTTATGATATATTGTTTAAATGGCTGATAACGGTCCATAAAAGTCCACATTATGAATGAATGATTTATTTGTGCTTTTCTATCAATGTTTTTTCTTCAAATATATTTCTGTTACGTTTTTTTTTATCGAATTCAATTAAATTCACTCGAATATTGGAGAGAAATCGTTAATTCAAAATAAATATGTTTTGATAAAAAAAGCGATTTAAAATAAAAAAAATTCCTATAAATCAACGTATCATTCAACGTATCATCTATTCCAGATGACTATTTCCTCGCCCTGGAACTCCTTGTTGCCAGAGCACTTCAACTTTTGAGAACATTATGATGAGAAGCGAATCGGTGCTCGAAGAGTTATGAATAATGTATTAAATCGAAGAAATAGTGTAAGATCTGATGAAGACAATTCTCGGGATAGGGCTGAGCGTAATTACTTTTTGCTTAACTGCATTAGTTTTTATTCGTCGTTTCAGCCCCGGAAACCGTAGGTATTCGGCTTTAATATAAATATTACAAGCTCACCTGGACTGCATTGCGGTTTGTGAGATTCTGACATCGCAACACCTCCACTTTTCATCACCAGTCACAATCTAACAGCATCTCCCTGCGAAGCAAGCAGGAGAAGTAAAATTTTGTCCGTGAAGCTTTCCACCAAAAGGGTGCAATCGCGTTTTTATAGCATTTTTCAAGTCCGAAAGTTAAAGAAAAGTTAAGCAAAGCAACAGTCTTCCTTCAAAGTCGCGTTTCGGTACAGTAGTCTGTAGGTTAATCCCTGCATCAAAACAGTAATGAATAACTTCAAAAAAGTTCGTGCGAATATCAAGTTCTGCGATAAGCTAGATGATGATCTATAACCATTGTGCGCGCATATTGTGCCGTAACGATTGACGTACTAAATAATCTGCTAACTGCCGACAAGAATTGAATATACTAGGAAGAGCCGCAAGTTCAAAACTTAGCTTCCGAGTAATGACTTATTGCTTGCTTTTAAAACTTCAGCAGCTTTAGAGAATTTGAAATTCGAAAAATTTAATTAATTAATGGAATTTAAAATTGGAAAAATATTATTAACAAATTTTGTGTTTAAAAGAAAGAAGAAAAAGTCTGGAAAATAATACATACACGAGCACCTACTATTCAACCGCTGTAGATAAGCTTAGTCTATTTTCAAAATGAAAATGTTTTGAAATTAATTGACGAATCATACGGCAGCAGTTACTGAGGCTAAAAGCTCTCAAAGATCCAGATTTCGGCTAATACAATTATATTAATTTCGTCTAAAACGTAGATCTTTTTGTCATCTGGCAAACATTACTGTAGAGGAAAATCTAACCGGACTCAATGGTAGCTGGTTAGTAGAAGTACTACAATATAGTAATTGGTGAGAGCATGGTAATCGGGTCATGCCAGTTGATACGCCCGATAACTATATATCTTGAAGAAAGATAGTCTGGTACTGGCTAACCTTGACGGTATGGTAGAGTGTAAAGGCAAGAGTGGCGTATTACATTTTTCGGAATACAAAGCGCAAAGTAAGGCTAAAGGCTTTGTAGACTCATTTAAGCACCTGACGGGGGTCAGGAGCCCGCTCGCAGGGGTTGTGATGTGCCAGGAAAGTTCGCTGGAAGGTACTTCACCCTTGCGAGGCCCCCTTATTAGAGGATTGTCTCTCCCCACCAGGGGATGATCACTCAACTTAATTGAGTGCCTATGGTTGTAGGCAACCCGTCTGATTAAGGCATCAAACCAGGTGTAGACGTTAAATCCACAGTGCGATCTGGCAAACTGCTTTTGTTTTGTTTTTTTTTTGAAAATAAACAAGTTAAAGCGCTTTATAGTCGGGAAACATCAACCGTTAAGTGCCTTACTATCTGCATCATACACGCTATAAAACACGAAAGTGAAGCTTTGTTTCCTTTTCTTTGTTGTCTTTTCTTTTATAGGAATTAGCTAAAAAGTATTAACCCTACTAAATGTAATAAAAACCTTGCACCTGTGCTCGCCATAAAATCACAATCACAATAATTACAACATTTTACAATACAAATAAAAGCTTACTTTTCACTAGAAGTAAAAATATACCTTTATGGTCCAAACTTGGCATAGTCAATTTACATGTCAAATTACTCGTTATTTCGGGATAGTGTTCATCATTAAACACAAAAATGTTCACTTAGTTACCATATAAAGACTTTGTTTTAAATAAAAATGTTTATACGGGAAGGCGTCAGAGTGCTATTGCTCCAGTGATAGTAAAAGTTGAACATTTTTTTTTAAATAACGCGGCGAATAGCCGTAAAATGTCTTCAAATTATCACAAATGTTGCGATTTGCAGCTTGAACACATAAACCCATGAACAGACATAATGCAGACGGACGGATGGACAATTCTTAAGTGATTCAGAATCAGTGATTTCGAATCTATTGATATAACCAAGAATGAGTCTAACTGAAATCGTTTTTAAATGCGGCCTGCATCCATTTAAGCTTAATATGCCTTTACCTACACCTATGTGGTGTAGAGTATAAATACCAAACTGTTTCAAAAGTAGATATATTTTGTTTGATATAATACTGAAGATAAAGTATGGAATGTGGTGGGTACCTTATTAAAATGTAGATTTCATTTTTGACTGAGGCTTCAGTTCAGTGTTGCTGAATATTCTTGATGCTGCATAATAATATAATAATTACTTGGTTTTTAACTGATGGATACAATGGTACATCAAAATATTGGCATTTGTAATAAAATGGGATCCAATCTTTTACAAGTTGTCACCGCATCAACTAAAATTACTAACGTAATCCTTAATATGCATACGTTTCCTAAGTGACGTTGGCTGGATTTGTTTGACAATCATAAGCCACTTTCAAGCATCGGAATACCGTTTTTCTGCTTATTTTCCATTTATTTTAAATTTATAATGGAATTTGCAAAATTTTTATTATTCCGATAGATAAGCGAAGGAAATTATAAGTACACATATCAGGAGTGCCGCACATGCTAATTTACTTATTATATAATTCAAAGACTCAAGCTAAGTTACAAACGAAATAACGAACTGAAAATGCACGCATTTCGTAGTAGCTAAAATGCATACAACAGAAAATTGCCATGCATAATATTATTATTTACATAAATATATGTTTAATATACAGCATGTAGTACATATTGCAAATAAGTGCACCATACAAGTTGACTCTGCTTAAAGCCATCTATTTTTGCTTTTGCTTACGCGTATATGTGAACGTTTGCTTGTTTCTGTTTATGTTAGAAATTTCGTTTTATTAGCTGAATTTGTGTAAATAAAACTGAATATTGACAATGATTGTTCCCATAAAATTAGATAAAAAAAAAAAAAGGAAAGAAAAATTGCTTGAAAAAACGAGATATATTTTCTCGTTTACAGTTCACCGATCTTTCGTTGACACTTTTTTCTAAATTCATTTTTAGGGAATTGCTTTAACAAATTGACTAAAGGCGCGAGGTATAACAATATATAGAAATGCCGATCTTATCAATCAAAGTGAACTCTTCATCTTCAATTTGATTTGTTACGCGGTTACGATCTCTTCATTTTCTGAATCATAATAGTCTTTAAAGAAATTAAAGCAGTGAAGCAGGGGAAGTACAAAGTTTAGAAAATACAAAAAACTAAAGCTTTAGCCCACATACAGACCTAACCAAGGTGGGGTTGTCGGTCAAGTGAAAAACACGGAAACTAAGAATGTGTTCAGTTCTTGTCTTCTTGAACCGATTGAGGTTATGCAAGTTTGTAGGCGATATTTTCATTTTTGTGCTACGGAGAATATTTGATCGTCAAAAAGACGGTTCAGAATTTTTGATGCTGATCAAAAATATTTATGGGGTCTCTCAAGCTTCATTCCGGGTATACGAACATTTTGACAAAACGAATTTACGCCTCATCCTCCGGTAATGAGTGCAAAAGGAAAAATGTACTTGCGGTCCTTGGGCTCTAAATTTGGACTTTATTCACAATTCAAAGTACTCGAAGAAAGCAAATTAGCAAATAGCGGCAATAGATGAGAGAGAAAACAATGCCGAACTGAGTGAGCGAAGATGCAAAAACAATGTTTTTTTAATTGTGTAAATAGTTAATTCTTCCTTATGTAGCAAATATATGCTTAGTTAATAAATCATTTCAATATGTTTTTAATCAAACTTGATCTGAAGAGATGTATTTTCATTCTTTTTTTTTTTTGTGTTTGCGTTTGTTTTAGGTACGGGAACATTTGGTCGCGTGTGCTTGTGTCGTGATCGAGTGACTAATCAATATTGTGCCATGAAAATATTAGCAATGACCGATGTTATACGTCTAAAACAAGTTGAGCACGTCAAAAATGAAAAAAGCATTTTAAGTGAAATCGACCATCCCTTTCTCTTAAATTTGTAAGTATTCAAGCGTCAAATCATTTCTTGCATTGTGCTATATACAATATTCAACAATTTTTCGATTTCACAGGAAAATCGAGATATTCGTTGAAGGTCTTTTAAAATGCATATAATTTCATGGAGTATAAGATTTTTTTCAAATAAAGATTTCCTTCACGTTATTCCAGTTACTTAAGTGCTTAAGGGTCTTTGCATTCCTATGTCGACTATATGTCTACGTTGTATTTCTTATCCAAATATTTCTACGCCGAAATTATTAATTAAGCAGTTAGTGAGAAGGGAAAGAGAAAACATAAACAAAAATGTAGGGATGCTAAAGGCTGATAGTTTTATAAGCAGAAGGGCCAAAGAATTCTACTAAATTTGCGTTTGAGATGAGAAAGTATTGAGAATCAGTTTTGATTGCACTTTATATACTTTGTTCATGTGCCAACATTTTATATATATTTGACTCCTCCAATTAGCCATATTAAGCCTTTTCTCGCATCATCTTCTTCTATTTATTTAACGATTTTCATCGATATTTCGATTATTTTTTAATCAACTTAATAATTGTTTGGCGTTGATTTGATAATGATGGTTATACCAGCAAAGGCTAAGAGCAGAGATGCGATCGATCGCCCACAGAGGAGACATTGGAAAAGATTAATATCGCTTAAAGGATTTCGCTCGAAGTGGAAGTTTTCCCATTTCATTCTACGCCATGATCCTTCTTCCATATGGGCGCTAACCTTTTCTTCTAAAATTTTATGAAAACAGAAGAGGGATTTTTTGCAAGTTTGTTGCAAATTGTTAAAATTTTTCGTCGGACACGACGGACACATCAGCTATGAAAACGTCGACTAGGCTAGGACTAGGTTGGAACATGTTGAAGAAGTGCAAGTCATATGAAGATATATCCGATTGGCGCCAACCTGAAATTAGAGGGCATTCTTAAGAGCAGTGTATGGTTGCGGCGACTCTTTGCCCATTACGTTATACGTTTAGCGAGCATGTGATGATGACTAGGCGACATAACGCACAGTTAGCAACGGAATCGATTTAATGAAAATGAAATCTGCTTAAAGATGGCCTTTAAGAAAAGTATCAGTGGTGACCTGTTGTATATTTAATGTAATTTTCACTATTCTTTAGCTTTATTACGTACATATATTGTAAACTGATCGTTATCTTATACGCCTTCACCTATGTGCATAAATTCCTATTTATTTTCAGAGAATGGTCGACAAAAGATAACTGCTGCCTGTATATAATTTTCGAATACGTCTGTGGTGGTGAATTATTTACATACCTAAGAAACGCTGGTAGATTTAATACGGAAACCTGTAAGCAAATAAAACAACAAAAAAAAAAAAATATTTTTAAATTGTTGCTATTGTTTGCGCCGCTCATTGAAATGCATTTATTTATTATTACAGCGATCTTTTTTGCTGCTGAAATTGTGTTGGCTTTTGAATATTTGCATTCACTGCAAATAGTTTATAGAGACTTGAAACCTGAGAATGTATTGATTGGAAGGGATGGACATGTTAAAATTACTGACTTCGGTTTTGCAAAGAAATTAAAGGATCGCACTTGGACACTATGCGGCACACCAGAGTACTTAGCACCAGAAATTATACAATCTAAGGGACATAATAAAGCTGTCGATTGGTGGGCGTTGGGTACGATTCTTCCTTTCTATTTTTCAATTTTTTCTATACTATATGTCTGTGAAAACTATCAAACAATAATGATAAGTGTTTGTTGCATATTATAGGTATACTTATCTATGAGATGTTGGTGGGTTATCCGCCGTTCTACGATGAAAACCCATTCGGTATATATGAAAAAATTCTCGGAGGAAAAATTGACTGGCCACGTCACATAGATCCTATAGCCAAAGATTTAATTAAAAAGTTGCTCACGCACGATCGCACAAAACGCTTGGGCAATATGAAAGTAAGTCAATTGATTATTTATATTTCCATCAGCATCGTTTGTTTCCTTCAAAGTTATATCGAAACGCATGTCTCAACTTGGCAAAATCTATCGCAGAATCCCGGTTACAAAAATTATTGAAAATTGCTAGTATTGTCGTTAAAATGGCACAAAGGTGATTAAAAGAGATTTTCATGCTCTTGAACCAATTGGTTCAAGCGTTCTAATTCTGGCAATAAGCGTGCAGGTGAAAGTCTTGTGAAAAAAATTCCCCGCATAGACTATTCCTCTGTCAATAGTGAGAAGTGACCAAATAATATAAAAAAATTATTCAATTTATATGCAAGAGTTATATTTTGCCGATTTGGTGTATAATCATCTCTGTCGTTTATAGTTCTAAGACGTAGTCCGCGAAAGAGTAAAATCCTTGTAGAATAAAATTCCGTAAGGGAAGCCTTTAGCATGGACTTACATAAGTGCTATCTACCACCTTAGAAAAATGATCAATATATTTATGTTAGAAGAGGTTCTAGTGGTAGCGAATCATAGCATATACGCTTTCAAATATTTCAAAGATATTTTTGTGAAAAAATGTTTTAAAAATAACTATGGTCCGTGTTCAAATTGAGTTTCTTTGCTTTGTACGTCACATTTATCATTTATTTATCTAATCTTCATAAGCGCAGAGCGTGTGCAATTAGAATAAAAAAAAAAAAAAAACGAAAAAATTATAGTTATAAATAACATTTCACAAATGGTCCATTAACAATTCATTTATGTATAAACAAATTTAAATAATTATTATTGCGAAAATAAATATAAACTGAAAAAAATTAAAATACATAAAATTGTATTTATATATACATGAATGATTAAAGAAAATACTAAATTTTCGTTTACAAGCCTTCAGGCATTACTTCATAGATGCATGAGGAAACGTAGTAGGTGGTACCCTTGGCAAGATTAGTACAAATTTAAAGGTATCTGCGCAATTTTCAATCTTTACTATTCCTAATTCTATTTTTGCTTAGTACCATATCCAGGCATGTAAGTGCTGTTTATAGCTCTATAGTTAATTTATGGAGATTTTTGCGCAATCAAAACATTTGCTTCGAATATATTGACAATTGTTCAGCGCTACTAACATAAGTACGATTTTTACATCTTTTTTTATACTAGATTTCCTTTCATAACTAATCACATATAGGACTTCGCTCTTTATCGATAAGACAGTTTCTCAGTAAGCTGAGAACGGCAAGAAAGCGGTATCGATTCTTTTGATGAGACTTTAATTTGGACTCTTTGGGAGATAACCTCAAAAGTTCCAGTTGTTGACTTCGCACTTAAATTTGTTTTGCATAAATGTATCTGTTCAATTTTACCACAAATCACACATGGGATTGTACCTATTACCATAATACGTCTACTTCTTTTTAGAAGAATTCGCTCTAGCATTATGAATATATAAGCAATAAGTAAGGGTAGGAGGTTTGCATTGCTTTTCCTTGATTAACTATCATTATACATACACTCACACATACGCATACACATATTAATATAAATCGAAGTGCACACAAATATGTATATAGCGTACGTGCGACATCGCATAAAAAATACGTCATTTGCCTGCGCTAGAACACTTCAGTTTGATCGTCAACAATAGACTAACCGTAAAACAACATATATAGTATACTGCAGCTGAAGCGATTGCATCAATCTACACGGTGGTCAACCTCGTTATATTGTATGTAAGCTTGGTGTGTCCTGAAACGCTCGCAGCAGTACACTGGCAGGGATATATCGCTATATCGCTATTTCTACATCGATTAGTTCGAAACCATTTGGCAGAAAGCGGCCCTGGCAATCACATGAGCGGTGCTGATTAACATCTTGAATGAGATGAGACGCGCAGTATCCATGATAAGAGCAAAAAATGTCAGGAACAAAGAAACGTTCTTAACAACACATAACGAATGCGTGGAGCAGAGTGACGAAAAGTAGACTTATGCTCTTGCTCTCTCGGAGAGCTCACGATATTCTTGATTTGTTACGGTTGCTTTCCAAAATACCTACATGGGTTCGGACTTGATACAGTATTGTGATGCCAGGACTGTGCGGACGTAGAGGAAAATTTTAAAAAGCATAATAAAAAAAATCGAGGCTTGAAGAGTAAGCTCTAAATACAAAAGTACAAGGAATTATGGCGGCTGAGGAAAGGAACGAATAAAAATAAGTAAAGGGAAACCATCAATGTTTCGGCAGAAAAAGTCCACAGAACGCCATTAGCCCTTTTCTAATATTGAAAGTATTATCCAATTCACTGGTCTTCCAGTCAAAAGCAGTCAGGAAAGTTTTGTGTCAGTCGTGGTGGAGATTGGGCTAGTGTGAGTAAAATTGAAAGTTGCAGATGATGGCTACTGGCGTGGACCAGCGATGTACTTACCCTCAGTTCACATAACAAATACACACACGCATACTTACAGACGCGTATATAGCACATATATGAATTAAAGCTTTTTTTCAATATTTTTTTATTTATATATAATAATGTAATTACGAGACCTTATTCTTAATTGACAGCACCTTAATTATAAATAATTAACCAAAAAACATTCGACAAAAAATTTTCATTATTCTTTTTTTCATTCTCGCTTTGACGATTTATGCGTGTACCGCGTGTGTTCTGGAATTGATTGCAAAATTCGTACAAAATAGTACATAACCTTTTCAATTGTTACTATTAACTTGTAGTAAGTAGCTCTTTTCTTAAAGTTCCCTTGGATCGTGGGATATATTTCACCACTCAGACGAATTATTTATAATGCCACTGCAGTGCAAAGAGAATGCTGTTTATTTGCGTGAAGATAAAGTGAGCGTAGGGTGGAGCGATAGAGAAAGTACTGCTTCAATTGACAAAGTCACTGTTCGCAAAGGCAAGTGAGGCCTAATTAACTTTTTGCTCGAAACGAGGAATTTGCTATAAACGTATTGAGTAGTAGAGGTAGGTTAGTGAGAAGGCAAGACGCTTTAGTGATTTGCAGTTTGTCGCACGAATGATTTAGAAAGCGAGGCGATTACATTGTTTATCTCAGTTATGCTATGGAATTGACTACCTTGACTACCTTTTATAGGTACGCAGGTAGATTTCAATTTCGGAATTTGTTTTTTTTATGGCATAGTCGGGCTTGAATGGCTTGTCCGGCTTGAATGTTTCTTGAATGTCTACAGTATTGGTCGATTTTTTCGACATGGGTGACAATAAAGAACATGGAATTTCGTTTCGGTGCAGACAAAGCTACAACTAAAGTATTACCTACGAATTTTTAAAGTATTAGTAATTATCTAATCTTGGGAGAGTTTGAATAGTGCTTTTAGTTTCATTGGTTATTTTCATATTGGATGACAGTTATAGGCCTTCCCCTATGCTTTAAAGTATTGACAATTGTCGACGCCGGCTGTTATTAAATTCATTTCATAATCACTTTGAGTATTATTTTTGTTCTTTTTTATTATTTAAGTCTAAGCAATTAGGGAGAGTTGCAGTTAATAATTTACCCCGGTATGTGAATAACAATTAAGAAAAAAAAAAAAAAAGAAGGAGCTAAGTGATTGTAAATAATGCCGTAGGCTTTGCATACATCTTGATTTCTTACTATGTAAATATATATTAATTGAATATTTAATATGTTTTTGTTTTGCAATTTCAGAATGGGGCCAATGATGTTAAAAGACATCGATGGTTTAAGAATCTTGTATGGCTCGATGTCTATCAGAAACATTTAAAGGTACAGTAAGCTATACGACACAGTATTTACAATTTCTAGTTTCTGTTTCATTTAAATAACATCTGTTAGGGTACTGCTTACAATTGGTTTACGGTATAAGTTTTGTTAGTGTGCTGTCTGTTTCCAATAGCACGTTTCTCTCGCATGTTGCTACGTCTTATTGTTTGATAATTTCTGATAATTTGTGATGAAAATGCATGGAAGAAATCGCGAAGAATTTTCAATACGACCTAATATAATTAAGTTTAAGTAACTCACGCAACGAACTTTAATAAACCACTGATTGCTGGCAAGTAGTTCTCGCAAATGCAATAACTTATTTCTACTAGAACGAACTGAAAAAGTAATTTAACCCTATCAGGGCCACACATCCACGCTTTTACCGAAAACAGAAAGAAGAGTAGTGAAGTGTCCAGAGATAAAGAAAGAATTCGTGGGTTTTGTAGTGCAGAAGCAATTTTGTTTATACTTCGCTCAGATAAAGCATTTTTATTCAAATCAGCTCAGTTCAGTTTAATACACTATAATAGTGTGAGTTTTTGTTGGGACAATGTATATTTTGTCTCAACTAAATTAATAATTTTTATAAGACAATTGTTTGCGTTTCTGAGAATGAGGTTGCACGAGCATGTTTATGGCTAAGAAGGTCTTCATGTCATATTTTCTACATTGTAATTATATATATTTATCAAATTAGTAGACCAAATTTAATTATAGTGGCTGGGCTTTGAGGTTTGTACAATGGTCGCGGCGCATACGGGCATGTATGGGACGATGTAATTTTTGTGAGTTTGAACCTTTCATCAGATCATAAAGCGGAACCGGTTCAGTCTGTCCGAAGGCAGCCTTTGCTTCGAGCAGTAAACTTGTTTTCATTACAAGCCTTTTAAGAAAGTTGATTTTTCTTTTCATACGAAGTTATGGCCTAGTTGGCAAGTTGTAAAGTAGTTTGGGGTAAAGGCGTGCTGTGTTTAGAGATATTTGTCTTTTATACGTTTCTGAAGAACAAGATATAGACTTAGAAAATATAATTGCTTTCAATTTTTTCCTTATCAATATCGCCAAAAAAGTCCGTTTATGAATTTATAATCTTACCATGGTCTCATTATCTACAATTAGCAAAAAGTCGACAAAGACATCTCGGCACTTGTGTTCATCAAAAAATTTAAGCGTTAAACGTGGTTTACAATTTTTCTCAATCTGTCCGTTTGTTAGATGAAATTATGATTACATTCTCAAACGTTCATTTTCATCAATTTTGCCTGGTAAAGGTTTCAAAATTATTAGCAAAATTGATCCGACGGAATCGACCACATCAATGATATATCATTTCCTTTTTTTTTGCTGCCACATAACACTTGCTGCGGTTTGTGCGGATGTATGCAGCATCCAGAAAGACTTAAGATAGATCTATCTTTTATTATTTCAGAGTCCTATTGTGAATCGATCTTAGATTGTTCTCTGTCGCTCTATTTATCTTGTTTTCTTATGTTCAACTTTCAAGATTGCAATTTTCGTGATATTTTGATGACACCTGGTACACCGACTATTTTTGGTCCAAGGACGAACATAATTGAAAATGCTTCGAATCGTACCACTATTTCAATCACTTTCCATATAATATCTTGCCTTGAAAAGTGGTTATATGAATAAGTGGTGTACAGTGTTCAATGGTGGGCCCTGTTTCGCTCTACTATTTTTACTTGTTTACAAATACAAGTGTGAAAAAGAAATTCTGTGGAAAATTTTTGTGGACAGAAGAAAAAGCATCCATTAGGCATTCATTAAAGTATTAGAAAAAAAATTTGTTTTGAAAAATTTTACAAAGTGGCAACGCCGCAATCATTCTGTATAGACATCTTGGGCTTTTAATCGACATTCTTACATCCAGTGAAACATGTAGGGCTTTTTAAAAAAATTTATTATCGTGTAATTGGAGAACGTTTGAGTGAAAATGTGCAATTTTCGACTAAAATGGGCGTTCTTCAATTAATAACAAATGGTTCGAATGTATCGAAAAGATCGTATGTGTTTCGCCAGAGAATATTTTGAAGATGCAGTAAAAAATTCGAATGAAAAATATGAAAACTGTTTGGGCAATGCTGCATGACGATTTCAAAAACTGTGTTTTAAGACAAACACGTAAAAAATTTGTTATTCATTTTTTCTATTAGTCTACGAGTCTTGGAATATAAAACTGCTTTTCCAAGCCCAAATATTCATTGTCCGTTGCTATGTCCAACACATTTTCCTTACGCAATATCCCGAAATTTCAATGAAAAAAGTGTTTGCGGGTAAAGAATTTTTTCCCACCTATCGATTTTATGAAAAATTTACAGTGGTCTACCTACGTCTGACGTATGCTTATTTAACTATCCATCACTATAGTGCAAGAAGGGACGTTGTAACAATTTATCGGAGACTTTTTCTCACTGAGAAGGAATCGCTGGGTATGAAAATGAATTTTACACCATAGCGAATGATTACTACTATCACTATAGTTGTTCGTTTTCACAATATCGGCAATGAGCAAAAGATTTGAATCGGCTTTAATCGCTCAATCATAGCAAGCAAAACAGTTATTATTGTTAATTAAAATTATAATTGTTCAAAATAAATTCCTTAATAAAGGAGCGGCATTGACAATCTTGTGTAACAAGAGAACGGAAATTCCACGCAAAATTTTATACGAGACTTAATAAATTTTCCATAAAGGCTAATTTTATCCAAATATATCTAAATTTGATTGAGTTAATTACCTCAAAAGTCATATGTTATTTGAAGATATTAATTTAATTTAAATATGTTAAATTTATAAATGTATGAATTATGTTGAACAAAAGCACCTGAAAAAGAACGAAAACTTTGTAAAAGTTCAAGCAAATGGCCATTGGTAAGGGTCAAGTGGAATTTTGCCTTCCACGATCCAATTTACTTTGAGTTTATACAAGACCGGATGATACTCCCATACTCCCAAATCCGAACTCCAGGAGCTTGGCAAGTTAAAGCGAATTGTAGAAATCAAAATGTTTACGAGGTTAATGCATTATCTCACTTAATAGAATACGTAGAAATTAGATATGAGGTTCATTTATGCCCTTTTCTCAAGCTCTTTACAAGCCAGGCGATCAATTGTTTTCGGTGCAAGTACCGGATAAATGAAAAAATGATAAAATTGCAATTAATTGACGTTAAATATGATCGTCAATAGTTGATGCATACGGTTAAATTAATAATTTTCCCATCAATAAAACAATATCACTGCGAACCGATCAAGAATCGTTAGTTTGGATTATGTAGTAAAAATCATTATTTTTCAGTCCCGTGCAATCAATACATGTTCAGTTCTATCAGCGCGATTGCACAATTTTTGCGTAATTAACAATACGTGAATTAAAATCGTTAAATAACAAGTCAGAAAGTTATATTCGGCTGGGGCCGAATCTCTTATATCCACCACTATGCAAATCTTTAACGCTCCATGCTCTTATTTACGTCCGCAAAAAAGTGATTGGGATAATATTTGTTCCTTTAGTTCGATCTTTTAGTTCATTCAGTAAAAGGTTTTTAATAAAAAGAAATTTATGCACCATGTCGGGACGCCCATCATAATTAATTTAGAATTAACAGAACCAGCTTTGCGCATTCTACTCTTCAAGTCCTTTTATTTGATACCCATATCGACGGTATTATTAAGATAAAATTAATCCACCAGGTCTACAGGGTCTATCGTAATCGTTTTAGAATTAACGCATTCTTGAGCCTATGGGGAATGTACAAACCGGTTTTATACGTTTGGTCTTGTTTAACTTACGATCAGCAAGCATAACTTATCAGTTTGTGTGGACGCGGTCGATTTATTCCATTTTTGCATGTAAATAGTAGAGACTTCCGAAGAGTAAATGTAGAAGCTTTCGCCCATTTATCTTTCATAGTTTGTGAGTAATAAGCAAAAACCGTCAGTTGCGTTACGTGCTTTGGCCATTTTGACCCATTTTCAATACCAACTTACGCCTAGAATCTTTCAATGTTTCTATCGCATTTAAAGTCGGTATTTTGATTTGTGCGTCCCGAAGAGCGTCAACACTCAGACAAGCAGATGAACAGGCGTGGCTTAATCGATTCACAATTTCCACCCAGATCAAGACTATATATATGTTATAGGGTCTCTGAAGCTTACTTTTGGGAGTCGCAAACATTATGACGATACAAGTGTATTCCCATCTTTCGGTGGTGCGTATAAAAATCATTTCGCGTCATAAAACATTGTAAGTGTACATATGCAACTATAAATATAAATTGATTTCATATGTTTTCATTTTACATTTGATATAATTAATCATCATTTTATAAAAATTGCTAAACATTTCTCTCCACGTAAAGGCATTTTGCTCCGATCTTATGAGCAATTGCTAATAATAACAACCTACACAAACAACCTACACAACAAATAATATTTATTTTTTTATTTGAATTTGCATCAGAAATGTTTAATATAAATAAAAGCATTTTTTTATTTAAGTGCATTCACACGTGGCTAACGACGTGCAGCATGACGTAGATAGTAAAATTTGTTAACAAAAATGGAAAGGACCATTCAAATATTGATATGTTAATAAAACAAAAAAAAAATAAAAATAAAAAAACAAAAAAAATATAAAAAATATTTCGTTAAATTTTTTTAAACTTTTCAGGCGCCCATTGTACCTGAAGTTCAAAGCGAAGGTGATACCACTCATTTTGACGACTATCCTGAAAAGGATTGGAAACCAGCCAGATCATTAGACCAATCGGAATTGCAGTTGTTTATTGACTTTTAATAGCTTTGATTGCTTCGGCGGTTATGATATTTATTTAGTTTTTTATTTTGTTTTATAATTTTAAAAAGCCGATACGTGCTTGTTATTACGGCTTGCACTCGCCTAGTGCGGCTAGTAATACATTAGTCATCTGTGGGCGGGCGGAAGCGTAAAATTTGTAGAAAATTTGTTTTAATGTTAAATTTTATTTGTAATTAAATTTGTTTTATTGTTGATATTTCTAATTTATTCTCATTACCGCACGTCGGACAGTGCGTCGGTGTTCTATTGTACTATTAGAATCTCGGCCTGCAACTTTATGCTTAGAGTAGTTTACTTTAATACTAAGAGAATTTATTTATGAATTTAATAAATTATGCTCTATTTACAAAAAGTTCTTGTAATTTTATTTAATTAATTTTTGTTGGTCTTTAGTTTTAAACAAAAAAAAAAATTATCCTGATTACATCAGTTAACCGATCATTACCATTTTTATCGCTGAGAATGTGAGTATGCGCTCTTAACGAACTCTTTAACACACACACACACACACACGCACAGTTTTTGTTTAACGATTTTAGTTCTCTGTGACGCGTCAGCCTTTGTCCGTTGTCCAATTTAATTATGCTCAAATGCTTTAATTGTTGACAAATCAGCGAAATGTGTGCAACGAGTTGTCAATTCCTGATCCTCAGCTTAGAAAAGGGTGAAGGGTGAAGTGGGCAGAATCTCCTTATAATAATTTTTATGAGCGTAAATAATTCTGATAGCATGGAAAGTGAACTATATATGAATACTTCTTGTTTCTTGATCCCTGAAGGCTTATGTTTATGTGTTGTTCGTAAAGAATCGTCTCTGAAATCGGGAAAATTGAAAACTAAAACGTTCTGTAAACTCTATTTCGAGGATAAGTATGATGACCAGGGGGAGCAATGGATCCTCATATATGCCTTTTGATGTGTTAGGCAGGGCGCAAAGTCGCTTGAGAAAGGTATAGCAAAGAAAGGTGAGTATGGTGGCGATATATCTTGTTCTTGTAGCGGAAAAAAATTTCAATTTTTGCGGATCACGGCTATCAGCTAAATGAAGAATTTGTACAAAAATGGAAAAGATTTACTAATATTCGAATAAATTGCTTGGAACTTGATCAGTTTCAATTCATCGAAAAAAAGTCGCTATACTCATGTGCCGCTAATATATCTTGAGATTTGGCTTGAGATATTTGGGCTTGAGGAAAGCGCTTTGAAAGTTTCAATTCAATTCAATTTAGAAACATTGGGGTTTGAAAATTTTAGTGTGCACACGGCAGGGCTATGCATGTAAATTTTTTATCTTCACTTGCAATTTATGTCTGCAGACTTATTAACTAAAAATATCAGTAATACGCGTTCAAGGCTATCTTCGAAAAATCGAGTTTTTGAAGAATTCAAAACTTTCAACATCTTACACAATCAATAGCCTACCAAGATAGATCATATATTTGAGAGTTTAGTGACTTTGCTAAATTATAATTAACAGCAAAAGTACGTGGGATAATGACGATACGGAACAAGCTAAACGCGAAGCTATGATCACAAAACCAAAAAAAAAAAAAAAAATAAAAATAATAAAATCAAGTTACTGCCACCAACTATCAAACACGGAAAGAGTGCAATGTGGATATCGAGTCATAAGAACTTTTGGAGACGCTACGCTACTCTAGTTTTTTTTATAAGTTTAAAAGTCTTAAAGGACACTGAAATCTGTCAGAAAAATATGCTTTCGTTGCCATGTTTAGCATCCAGATCCAACCATGCGTTTCCCCATGCACACTTTCCCATGTACGTAGTCCACTAAATTAATTGCACGTAATCTCCCTTCACTTTGTTTTATTATTCTCTTGGATAAGTTTTGCATTTCGTAAGGAGTTCTTTTATTCAGATAATTCACGAGTCGATAAATCCCGAACATGGTAATGAAATTTTTGAGATTTCTCTAATAGTTTTCAACGTCCCCTAAGACATTGTCAAAGGACTGTTTCTTTTTTTCATTTTTCTTGTACATGTTTGTATTTTTTTCTTTTGTTTAGTGTTTTCACAATCGTTTTGTTACTTTTCCACTACCGCTCAATTATCAATTACTTTAGCGAAGGCGCGAAGCAACTGAAGCGAAGATAGCTCAGTTTTTAGCAAAGTCAGACAGCAGATGTGGACAACGCACGGTGGGTTAGCTTCATCCTAGTATTATTTCATTTCAATTTTAGATAGCTTAGGTTTAGTTAGCACAGTGTAAAATATGGGAAAATTAATAATTTTCGTCAATGGATAGTTGGTTTATTTGAGCTATGAAATTCCACTATTATCTGTACATTCCGCTAGTAAGATTTAACAGGGATTTATGAATTGTATTTGTTGAATGGTCCAGCAATGCAAAGGGTCGGGAAACTGGAAGTAGAAGATTGATATCATTCTTAATTAATGATTATAGATGAGATAAGAAGATGGTCGCTTTCTGCTTTGTTCGTGCCCACAATAGACAATTAACTGCAAGTTACAGCCGGCGTAATGGACATCGATTTGAAACATGGCATAAATGTTTCCTAGGAGCACATACGAGGTCGGAGCGTAAGTAAATAATATGTCAACCTTGAAAATAAATACAACTCTCTTTCATACGATTGTTCCAAGCACCCAGCAGAACCGAAGAGCAGAACCGAAGAGTCCTGTGTTATAAACGACGCTTCATAAATTTAATAGAATAGAGTCAAACTGTGAGCCCAAATTTGAATGCCTCCAAAACACTGCTGTCGCAGTGGACGCATAAGGACAATGACGAGAAACCCCTCTACTTTGATGGTGTCAATGTAGAAGAGATGGGAACCCTTTTTGTTTTGGCCATGATAATACAAAACGATACTCATTGAACAGAACATATATTCAGAGTTTTGAAAGATGCTGTCCAGGGCTTCGATTTTTTTAAGACGGGTGTAAAAAAATTTTCACTGCAACCAATACTCGTACAATTTACATCATGTATTTCCCGCCAGAAGTAGAGAATAACTGGCTTGTGTGGGTGGAAACCTCAAATCTTGTTTAGAGCCGCTCGACCGTATGAACTTTCGACTTGCTTGGAATTACAAGGAGCAGGTCGATAGCTACCATATTTTGCCCAACGTTAACGCTGCTGGTAATAACTTGGCGAAATTTTTAAAAAATTGAAGATCAACCTTCCGTCATCATAATTGAGTTATTGAAAATTTGACAAGCAACACTTTTAGTAAAGACTAAAATAAGTTGGAATCAAAATTGATTATTTTCTGTACGAACTCCATGGACTTAAGCGTTTTACAGGTAGCGCCTTTCGTCTATAAGCTGATACAACTTTTATTTTTTTTATTTTTCTTGCAGCCAGTAGTTTCGACAAAAATTTACTATTAAAACGCCATTATATGTACCGTAAGATAATGCGAGATATAATTTTAAAATTTCTTAGAATATAGATAGTTATAAAAGTGTCAGTTGTTAGAATAGAAACCTTTATGATCTAGTTGAGCAGCTAATCAAGGAGGTAATGGAGTAGTTAGTCGAGTGGCTGAGGGATTAATCGAGCAGCTAGTCGATCAACAGATTGGGTAATTAGTTGAGCAACTAATTGAGCAGCTAATCCGAGCAGGTAATCGAGGTAGTTAGGGCACGTTATTCTTGCATCCTCCCGGTATTCTCCCCTTATTTTATCGCTGTGTTTGGGAACACTATCAGTTCTTAACAAGCATGCTAAACGGCAATCTCAACATTACTTCCGAAAATTCTTAAACGATTATGACGCGTCTACGTCGATTAGTACTACGACGCATGATGCGGACCAATGGCTCGCATTAGATTACCTTAGATTTATCAATGGAAGATAGGTATAGCACAACTTTTTTGTCGATTTCGTAACATCTGCTGATGTCTGATTCCGTAATGCGTAAACATATTTATGACCTGATCGTACGGAAACGGCTTCGACTGAGTGCAATTCTTCTGTAGGTTTTGTTTATCAAGAGTAGTTAAGTATAGATTATTTTTAAGCTAAGCAATTTTGATGTACATTAGCAAAATTTTATAAATATGCTAAAATTTATTAAGATTTTGTAGGACACTAATCTTTTACACTTTGAAAGCACTCTAGGTTCTTCAGATCATCGATATTGCTTACATTTTCTTCGCCTGAAGCTGGTTATGCAATGAAAACTTCCACTACAATTAGAAACCATTCCTCCCCTTGCAAATTCCGCCGTATGATTAGAGCATTCCGTTGTTTTGGATGCTTGGAGCCGCCCTGCGATGTGGTCCTTATAGACCTTGGCCTACATGATTGAGCTGCACATTGTTTTCAATTCGCCGAATGCAAAGTACAGCTGTACAAACGAAAAACAATCGTGTCAATCAAAATATTTAAATTTCCTCTTTTTGACGACTCTGTCGCGTGTATTATCGAAGAGCTTTGTAGAATTTTTATTTAATAGGTGATATGTAAGGTACCGCTTTCGATATTTCTTGGTCGACGTATTCAGATTTGAAAGCAAAACTTCATCTGCAATAATAATATATTCGATGGACTTTTTGACATAGAGATTTTCAACTTCTTTCCCTTCGCTTCTTCCGTCATTTAACTTATAATCCTTGTTTCGAGCAACTTTTTTATTCACGTATTCGTAATTTTTATGGGATCCATTATCCGTAGAGACATTGTCACCGGCATTGTCAACATCATCATGAACATCATTGTTGACTTTTCTTCTTAGTTTTTGGTTTTTATTTCTTAGGAAATTTTATAATTTTTCTTACAAATTTTTGTTAGCAGCAGATACTTTGAATATTCTAGGATATGTGGAAAAAATACATTATCTGAAAGAAGCTTTTTTTTGAAATTTTTTCGTCCAACGAAAACGAATTCGTGCTGAGAAGTTGCAGTATAATGTCATACCGGGTGATTGTTACATCTTCGAGCACTCTGACAGACGTCTTCAGAAGGTGTTAATGTTCATTTAAAAGTATTTTCAGACAAGGTTACGTTAGCGTAACTTTATTGACACGACCATTAAGCAGATATTAAGAACGAGCTGAAAGCTTTTAATGCTTCCGTTAGGAAATTAAAAGTTTGCTTCAAGTTTTTTGGATTGATTGTTAAATTGTTACTTCTTCTCAGCGTTTTCTCCATCGTTTTGCAATATGTAAGGTGTGAAACGTGCGATCATGTCTTTGACAGACGCGTCGAACGAGACAATTTCGAGCAAAAAAATCATCGAGGAGTAGGAGTGAGGAATAACATTTGGAGGGGTATTTTTATGATGCTGCTGCAATTGAAGACTAAAATAAAAAAAAATTCTAATAATAAAAAAACATGCCCATAAGACATGTTAAAATTTTCAATTCGTTTTACCTTAAAATACGATTTTCGATAACGGCTCGCAGTATAACGCCTATTTTTCATCCAAATTTTTTGCAGTACTTGAAAACTAAAGATACTAAAGAAACTAATATATCTTCAATGAGTTAAGCTTAATAAAAGGAGGTCCCTTCTCCGAACGTAGATTAGAAAACTATTATATATTCATTTTTTTTTTTTTTTTTTTTTAATTTTAAATTAGAAGCGCTTACACTGCGTGCGGCAAGGCGCTCTTAAGCGAAATATAATACCAGAGCACGCTATTTTTTAATACTTCTTCAATACATTCATCTTTAAACATTTACACATTTAAATACACGCCTACTAACCTTCCCGAATATTATTGTTTTGATATCTTGCCTTCCAGCTACAAAAAATTGTCAAATAATCCCTCTTTTTGTCTATTGCAGTCTCCTTCCTATTTCAAAAAAAAAAAAAAAAAAAAAAAATGCAGTCATATTTAACATTAGAGCGAAGCTTTAGTTTCCGATTTATATTTGGCGATTACAGAGAAAATCCGGGTATAACCTAAACGCTACCGAAAAAACTGCTTCGAATTATTATTTTCTGGAAATTTACTCAAGTTTCGCTGCGGAAACGTGTAAAGACGAAAAAACATTCAGAATATGCGCAAAACTCATATATGTCAGTAGTCAGTTATGACGATCTTGTTTGTCAGTGTGCACTCAAGTCTCGGCTGACGCTCATCTCGTCGAAATAATCTCAGTTTTAATCCTCTCTAAGGGAAAGCAAATCCAATTATTTGCCATAAAATAAAAAGCTCAAATGTTAGCGTAGTTTGGGATGGTCCTTGTTATTGTGATTTTTATTAAACTGCAGTTTACTGCTAGAGTAGGCAACAAATACTGCTTTTTTACGCAGACACTATGCGCAGACTCCAATAGAAGCAAGAGAGAATTAAATTTAAATAAAAAAAAAAAAGAAAAAAAAGAGAAAGAGAAAGAATAAATGAAACTAAAAAGAACGTCAATTGAAGAAGTTTTGTATGCACCAGACTTGGTAAAGTGTCGTAGTTACCCTTAGCCGTTACACCAGCCGTAAAAGATTGTTTTTTTCCCCTTTCAGTTTTAACTCATTTGTCGCATAAAACACTTGTCTGTCTGGAAAAACGCGCAAGAGTATGTTATGTGCAATTTAATTAAAAATTGAGCAAAATTATGAACAAAAAAAAAAAAAAATATATATATATAAAAAATATAAAAATTAAAATATAAAAGAAAACAAATTATTTAAACATGCATCAGATGGCCAGGAGATCAAACATACGTAAATGTAAGACCAGGGGATCAAAAGAAATGCTTTGCTTACCAAAAATTTTGAGACATAAATGAAACAAATAAGTCGCATTTGCAAAAAAAAATCGGATATTTTGCGTTAATGAAAAACGGCCAAAAAAGAAAAAAAAAATAAAAATAAAAAAAAAAACCCGAATAAGAGAATAGAAAAATATGTCCGCTTCAAATAAAAATATTTTATAAATAAATTGATATATGATAATTCATATACACACAGTAGAATAATGTAATGATTATATTCATATGTGAAAGCGGAAAGCGTTTAAAGAGATAAAAATCGTTAAAGAAAATTCATATATAATGATAGTTTAGCGTAAGGAAAATTCGATTGGAAAATTAAGTGAAAATTTTTACGGCCATCGAAGTGAGTGTTGGCACACAAATACATACAGGAGACTACGTACATGCAAAACCTACACATCGAACTTACGTTAATATATACACATATACATACATCCATATATACACAAATACACCAATAAACAAATGTACAAATACGCACATATACACTCTTATACATTGATACATTCGTACAAACAATTTTTGTATTGTATCGATTTTCAACCAGACCAGCCGTCACTAATATATAGCATCGTGACCAATAACTGGAAAACGCATATCTTTTTCGAAAAATGTTGTACCGTTTGCTATTTTATGAGATTTTCTTTTTTTTTTCTTACTTTCTATGAAGCGGAATGAACACTTTTGAAGATGCATACGGATGTCGTAACGTAAAAAAACAGTCTTAGTCATGAGTCTTGTTAAAATGATTGGTAGACAGTGTTGCATTACAATTAGTTTTCTCATTTGAAAAGATGAAAACAATTTAAACATATATACATTCATATTAATCGCTTGTTAGTGTAAGTGCTTTAATTCAAAACTTCAAATCCTTACGCAAATAGCATAATAAGCAATCCTTCCTACTCCTACGAAAATTAATTGATTTGATGGCGATGAGGGCAGAAAGAGGAAACATTAAATTATATATACATAAACTATTAATTAAATTAATTTAAGAAAATTATATATAAAATTGTTTCGCACATCATATGTTAAAGCTTTTTTAGTTTATGTTTTTGTTGTTCATGTTTGTGCAAAAATATATATATATATATATACAGATATATAGAAGTGGTTGATTCCTCCACAGACGTACATTTATGTGCACTTCATATATACGTATGTATCTAAACGTCAAAAACAACCCTCCATTATATACTTTAGTTTGAATGATTATTAATGTTTTCAAAATATTCACTGGGTGTGTTGGTTACTGGCCTGTACGGTTCGTCCTCTCTTGTAAAACTTCCGCTATATATTGCTATTCATTACCGTTACAGTTCATTTGAATTGTTTACTCTTACAGAAGTCGTGAGAATGCAAAAAAAAAAAAAAATAAAAATAAAAAAATAAAAAAATAAAAAATTAAAAAATAAATAAATAAATAAATAAATTAAAAAAAATAAAAAATTTAAGGAAAAAAATTTACGTCATGTGAAATCGTACACATATGTCAGCTCTTAAGGCTTGCCACGAGAAGTGAGCAAACATTCCTTTGCATACATACACACACACACACACACACACAAATATATATATATATTGTTGGACATCCAGTATCTTTTCCTTTTTTTATTCTTTGTTTCGTTTCTGTCGTTTTATCGTTCTTGACAAATTGTGATTTTTTTTAATATTTAATCAAAATACATATTAGTAAAAATATTTAACGCCCAAACCATAAAACCAGAATTCGTTACGTCATCTTATTAATAGCTGATCGCATTACGTTTATAAAGCTTTGCCACACTTTACCTATTACCAGATAATCTTGGTACAAGAAATTGACGATTCGTATAGGTTTTCCAATGAAATCCACGAGCCCCACCGATATATCCTTTTGTTCAACGCCTCGCTGATAGAAGGAATAGGTTTTTTTTTTTTTTGGAATTTTTCTATCCACCACTGAAGGATGGGGGCATACTCACTTGGTTTTTTTTCATAATTTACGTAAGACCCGAAAGGAGGCTTCAACGATCCTATAAAGTATATATGTTCTTGATCAATGTGAAATTCTGAATCGATTGAGCCGTGTTTGTCCGTCCATGTATCAGTGTTGTTCATGTTGTTGACACTCTACTGGTGGCAAAAATTAGGATATCGGCTTCAAATTTGGTAAAACCATTGGAAATTTTTTCACGCAGGTTGGTATTGAGAATGGACCAAATTGGTCCGAGCAGAAGCTCGCAATGAAGCGTAAACTGAACGTAGCTTCGTTTTTCCTACCAAAAATTAGTGGGGTTTTCCCCGTCAATCCGAAAATTATAAAGGTTAGAAGGCTGCTAATTTCCACATTGATGCTACGAAGCACTCTACCCCTGACGTGCAAAAATGGAAAACATCCGCAATGCCTACACAAAATTGCAAGCGATTAAAAGTCGTTTTTTTTTCACTTTTTTTGAGGTTCTGTGCGTATTTATCATAAGGCACACAAGTTCGAGTTTTAAAAGCTACTTTATACACTCCTCACATGAAGCTGTATTAGGCGCCCAAAAATGGGTTATTTCCAAAATCACAATCGTAGATACCGCGACCTGCTGGATTAATTTTTTCTTAATAATACCAGCTGTATGGGTATGAAATAAAAGAACTTGGAGAGTAGAATATGAAAAGCGTAGTGATGGGTATGCGAGATTCGGCCTCCGCCGAGCATAACTTTCTCACTTGTTTATATATGCGCGCAGTTTTCATTAATTCAATTACGTTGCATACCTTTTGTGAATAAGCGAATGCATATCATCAAGATTTTTCGTGATTTTCATTTTCCTGTTTCGATTAGCTTAGTAACATAGGCCGATAGGAAGTAAGCATGCAGGCGTTAAATAATTTGAAAGAGAGAAACCTTCGATATCTGTAGCAATTTTGTGATAAACTTTATTTTGATAACTTTCGCCACTTGAGTGAAGTGATACGCCGAAGAAATTTCTTTCTTTTCGATTCCTTTGAACATACGAGTATGCTTGCTTAGCATGGTACGATACTCGTCAACGTTGATTGTTACGATCTGACATTATTCTTTAAAAAAAAAAAACACAATACGTTACGGTGGCATTCGTGAGAACGTGAGCTGCATTTTACTCGGCAAAAATTGGGTTCCATTTCTCCCTTCGGGTAGATCAGCAAAATGCTACAGGCCCGCATTTAATGTATTTAATAAGCGATAAAATTCGTGGGCGCTTAAGTTCCGCAACGAGCAACGCTCGATTGGCTTCAGTACGAACGCCCAGTTGCTAAGAATGATATCACAAACAATTGCAAAATTCTTTTCGTTTCTTGCCCTTTTCACGGGAGGGTTACGAATTGTGAATAGGAATTCGGGTTTCTTTACAAGATGTTCTGATTGTTTGCTGTTAAAAATGTTTACAACAATCTGGCTCAGATAAGCGTGTAAGCTTCTCGTGACAATGGACACGAACTTTGATTAAAAGTTTGGATAAATTTCATACGTGCTTCTAAAACATGTACCGATCTACGATTAAGGAAAAATATGTAAAAAAAATACCACAAATCGGTTGTAAAATGCTCAATAGAATCGATTGAAGTTGCATTTCATTGATGTCAACCGTGGCTCGATTCACTAGACCTTAATTTAGGGTTTCACGTTCAAGATTTATTACTCGCCATCATTTAGTTGCATTTTCCAGCGCGCTAAACAGGAGGAAAAACGCCTCCGGCTATTTGTTTTTGTTTAGCGACCAAGTCCACTTCGCAAGAACTATGCTACTTCCACGAAGCATCGATGGTTAATAGCTTGCCATGGACAATTAATAGAATTATTTGGTACATCATAATACGGCGATTAATAATTCGCATGATTAATTAAGTAGAAATTGTTTTTCAATTTCACACAAATTCCATTTTATTCATCCCCTAATCTCCTTCAATCAGCTTGTTTAACCTGCCAATGCATTTAGAATGATTTCTCAAGAACCTCCGAATACCGTTCAGTTTCGGTAGCGACTTCATAATTTGCTTTTTGAAATTTTGCACGCAGACTCACTATTGGACAGACATAGCCGAACTTTAGTTAATACAATTTTGTTAGTGCGGCCATTGACTTGCAGTGCTGTCCCTTTGTGCCATCATAAGAAAACGAGATAAGCTTTTTCATGCTAAACGTTTCATTCGAAGTAGTGAATACCCTATCTTTTGGTAACCTTGGAATCTCAACTATCACTTGCGTAGCTTGTGATTGAACGATGTTGTCGCTTAACAAAAACCACTTTTTATATTGTTGTCAAAGTAAGAAAAATAGTTTCATTAACACCACTATATGCCGTAATGACTCATCGAACTGGCATGAAATGTTAATAAGCATCGTTTGACCTCCTAAAAGGAATATGGATTTCATGCTACAGACGATATCAATTTTCTTGTCGTAGGAATTTTTAATCGATATGTTAGTGCTTGTTATACGAAACCGGCTTACACATCTGATGCGTTTACCATATACCTTTCTATTTAACTTCTTATTTAATTATTTACCGGCTACAATTATACATTTCAGCGCTATATATGTGTATATGTACATTAAACTTAATATGCGTATCTCAAGAGAAGATCACTACTCAAAAGCAAAGAAAAGTTCACTGTTTCATTTACAGGATAAACAATTTCTGAGTATATATACATATATATATATATTTTTTTTTTTTTTTTTTTTTACAGAATTACTTTTTTATTCCACTTATACAAGAAACTCAACTAAAACAAAATGGCAGTCGAGTTCAATTGACTGTTAAAGTAAATCTAAAATCAACTTAGGCCTAAATATTAAACCATGATATCAATTAGAGAAGCCAGCAGATAGGGTAAAGTAAATAGTATACAATATCGTAGGCTATCAATCAGAAGACGAGTCAGCAATGGTAAAGTAAATAATGCACACCATCTCAGACTTAAAGTATTCAAAACCAACACAAGTCCAAGTAAGTATATATAGTATGTAGTTACTTATAAGGTATGAGCTACCGCACTGAGATTCGAGTTCACATCCCCTGACTTGGCAGTCTTGAGTCTTATCTCCTAGGCTATGGACTCGGACATGCGGTGGTCCAGCATAAAAAACCAGCGGATAATATTTTTGGGCAGTATACGCAAATGTTGCGCGGTAGACGGTATAGTATATGTTAGTGTTGGCGAAAAGTAGTAGGACTGCTCTTCGATTATCATAGGGCATTGAGAAATACTTCTGCCGGATGAAACTAATAGCAAGAAATTTAATTTTAGCGGTTAACGTGATTTACGTGAACGTGTCCGCCAACTTTATCGCACGCAACTCTTAGTTTTCCACACTGCATTAATCTGGGGTTCCAGTGTGGAGCGAAGCGACACGGCCGAATTGAAACATTAACTTTCTTAGATGATAGTAATGAAGCCCAATCCCATTAAATGCCGAGGACAATGACATGAAATTTAACGCAGATGTCAATTAGGGCAGTTGTTGAATGGAAAAGCTTTCCATCTCAATATGAATGGAATAGTAAAAGTAAGAATGGCATATCTTTCGTTAGTTAGCATAAATTACTATTAAACTAAGATAGCTTTAAAGAGCTATTTCTAGTACTACATATAATATTTATTTATTGTTAAATTGAATTTTTGCCTATATATAAAGCTAATAAATGTTTGCGCGAAATTTTAAACCATTACCTGTTATAGAAGAATATATTGGAATTTTCGTTTGTGTGTGTGTGTGTGTTAGTAAGCATTTATCGCAACGATGTAAGATATAGTTGAACAAAAATTTCAGTTTTTTAAAGTGAAAAATGCACTGAATGAATACGAATTTGCAGTTTTTAGTTAACTAAATTAATCATTGAGAAGCATCTACTCAAGCCTTGTCACTAATTACGTGCACATTTAACTTTTAGTTTTCACTTAACATCATATCGAATATGGGGATAATCTATAAAATCTAAGTGATGTGTAAGAGCAACACATATACCCATCAATGTGTAACAGTCGACGATGCCTGGACTGCGATTGGGTTTCTCAACAAGCTTTTGCCAAGCTTTTGCGCAAAAGATTTGTCAGCAACATTTGTACATACACTTTAACAATATTCGTAGACCATAGCTGCCTTCGGCTAATGTTAAGCAAGTATTGTTTGTCATTCTCTTTTATCTTCTATTCGATGACAAGTGATCTAAAAACATATTCCAGCAAAAGAGCTTACGTTTTGTATGTTTAATTAAGAGAAAAACACACAGTATGAATATCCGATACGGAAGCAACATTTAAAATGACAGTACAATAAAAGTCAATTATCGCTAGTAATTTGTGCACCAACTGTGACATCATGCTGACGCGTACGCAAAGCTTAAGGTTGCAATAGGAACGCATGAGGCTATCCTATCACTATCCTTTTGTGAATATTCCTCAATCTACTGCTGTGCATGATATTCTCGTTTACGATTATGAGTTTGAAAATCTCTTCATGATAAAAACAAAGATTTTTCTTCGAACTGAGAATAATCGTCGCTCCTCTTTTCTTTTAATCCGCATTTCCGTATCTATTTCGTAATAAAATCTTATGAGATATGATAAAAACACAACTCTATCGTCCATGTCTATATATGAATAACTAAAGCACTCTTATCGCGTATATTATATTATTTGAAGCACAAAGGATGGAAAAATTTTATTTTTGTTTGCATCATCAAGAAATGCTCATTTAAGATTTCAATAAAACGCACATTTGCTACATTTAATTAATAAACAAAGACTATATTCCGTAATTGGCGCAATTCTTCCATAAAAATGTACTTGCGTTAGCTAAGAAAACGAAACAGCCTCAAGAGAGAATCAAAAAATCCCGATTGATAGTAGGTGCGCTAATAGATGCTCAATTAGCAAAATCCATTTTCGATTCTGCAATTCCCTTGGAAATGTTTTGATAGCATTCGCTCTTTACACAACGATGATCACATCGATGATGCCCTGGACGATATATTAGACACACTGTACATTTTGCTGTATTGGTCGATTGGTCGCAAATAACTTCTTATTAGGAAATTTATTATGTCCTTCGACTTTATATTCACTTATCATATGTTTAATATGACATGTTGGCATTAGACGCAGCATAAATAAGTGGACACTTTTTCCTGTGGCGTTCTTGCTTCACGCTTGTGTGGACATGTTTTTCTGATTCTGTTCGCTTCGTTTATCTAATTCCTAATATTGAACTAAATAATTGGTTTTTTACCTTGTGTGCAGCATTTTTGACAGCAAACATTCATAAATTAAGTAAAAAAGCCAAAGTCAAAATCCTGCGAGAAATATTTTAAAGATTGAAGATTGATTTCTAAAGTCAGTGTACGATATATAGACCAGAAAATTGAATATGTTTAATAATTTATGGCCAAGAAAAGCAATTTTGGATGTAAATAAAATCATTTTGATATTCTAGTATATCTTTCAAAAAACACTCAGAACTTTTTTCCTGCAAATCTTTCAGCATAATGAACCTTCTTCGCCATCTACATCTCTATTCATTGAACTCTCGTTCGTTTGTGGTAAGGACTCTGGCATTCGGCTGTGTGCAGCGAACAGGATGGCTTGAAATAAATCCATCTCTTTCTATAATAATATATCAGTCGATTCAGAATTATTTTCTTGAATGAGTTCAGGCATATCTGTCTTTTTTTATATAGGCACGGTTGAAAATGTATTGGGCTAGATCTTTTTTACGATTATTTCCTAGGTAACATCAAAATAAATTAAAAAAATAAATGAATAGGATATGGTTGCAGTGCTTCTTGGTATTCTAAACACAAAGTTAGGAAATTTGTATAGCATGCGAGCATCTCTTCAGAATTCTCTCCTATAATAAAAGGTTTTTGGCAAGAAATTAATTTTTATATATAGAGGCAAAGTCGAATTTTTAGTAATTTATGATGAAAATCGGTCTAACCTACCTATTTAATATATCAATTTACTGTAGAAAATTTCGATTATGTGGACCCATTTTTTTCTAGGTTTTTTTCTAATTTTTAATGGCCAAAATGAATGAAACATACTTTTAAATGAAGTAATGTAGATTATATAATAGCCGACAATACATTTACACCGATTTCCTTTTCTCAATCGTTATTCGATATATGATGATACTTCTTTTGAAATTTGCTCCGACTTATTTGTTAACCGGCTTATTATCGGGCTTCATGTGCGCCACTTTGCTACATTTTGCTGAAAAATCGAATTCTGTTTTCTGCTGTTCCGAGAAATGCCCTTTTATTCATAATAATCTCGTCCCTTATTGACATGGAAACATTATTATGTTTGTTTGACGATTCGATTCATTTTCCAGCATTTATAATGATTCGTTTATCGGGTCTATAATCTCTAAGGCTTGCTGAATATGATCGTAAAGACTATGAAATTCATGATTAAATTACAAATTGTTCAGGAAAAGGAAACGAAAACGTCTTGGGCAAAGAGATCTAAAAAAATTATGAAGCAATTCGGCGGTATCTGCTTTATCAAGTGTTCGGCTACATTGGGATTGTCGGAAAGAGGAGATATGAAATATAGATTTTCCAAGTCATTCTCAGTAATGTGCTAAAGCAAATTTAAAGAAAAGTTAAGTTACAAACTGCTAACCTTATCGTGGAAATGAGAATTCAATTCCGATGAAGGAAAACACATGAATAACGTAATGTTAAACAATTTATTATTATTTCTCAATTTGATATCATGGATTGTCCACTTAGCTTGTTCATTAAATCGATTAAATGTTTTCAATTGACATAGTATGATATGAGCGACGACTGTTTTATATATTAGTTAGTTTGCAGGAAAAGGAAACAACGCAATTAATATGTATGGACATGACGGTACATATAACTCTTGTCGTGGCGATGATGCGTATAAAAACGAAACAATAAGTTGCTTATGCAGCAGAGGCATCGTCAAATTAGTTGTGGAAGGTAGCTAAGCAAGCGAAACAAATGTACGATCAATACATAACATGTACAAATGCTTCTATATATGTACATATGTATATATGTAGGTTTTGTATGTGCAATGAATTTGGGAATTGGTTTTTTTTTTTTTTTTTTATTATTATTTATTTATTTATTTATTTGTTTTTATTTTTATTTTATTTTTTTTTTTTTCTGTAGAATAGCAATAACAAAGAACATGTACAACTTGATTTATTTCGATAAACACCATATTTGCCAACAACTCCATTTTATTATGGTTGTTCTTGCTATTATTGCCTCCATATAAAGTTCATTTTATTTCGGTAAATGCTTTTATGCTCTTATGTAGACTGCAGCCAAAACCATTTTCTTTTTTGAATTTTTTTTTTTTTTGTTACTTTTCTGACATCACAACAATGATTCTATTCATAATGCATATGGATAGGACCTCCATAGTGCTCTGCGTTATCTACAACTGTCGGAAATTTTACACAAAAGTGGAGAAAAAAAAAAAAATTAGAAAAAGACATGAATTTGAATTAGGCCAAAAAAGTAAATTTTGTTAAAAAAAAAATAGAGAAATTCTTAAAATGAAATGACAAAATTTTGGTTAAAAATTTTAATATCTTTGATAAGAAAAAGTCCTTTAAATTATATTTCTTTTTTTCTACCTTTTCGTCGAAAATAATGGCAAACTTGTTCGGTTTTCAGATTATGTAGAAGCCCCGCTGCTGCTGTCGTTGCTGCAATTATGACTTTTTGATAAGCAACATGCATAGGTATGCACGTTAAAGAAATTTTCTTCATTCATAACCATTTGTGTTGTTCGTAATGCTATTAACAACCGGAGATATAGAAAAGTTCATTAATTCTAAAAGTCCCTAGAGTGAGAGTGAGAGATAGGATTAAGAAAAGATATCAAGAGGAAGAGGAAAAGTAAAAAAAACGTGTGAGAGAGAGAGGAAAAGAAAGAAAGAATGCAAGTGTGATAGCGGAAGGTAGCGCACAACGTAACAATAACAAAGAAGTTTTATACCAAAAGTGATTAGTAGATAAATTTAACCCAATTTGCCTTTAGAGTAAAAAAGAAAAAAAAAAAAAAAAAAAAAAAAAGGAAGAAAAACAAGAAACCTTACCGACCGACAATCGAAACCGATATTTTATAATAATCAAAAAAAAAAGAAAAGAAAAAAGGAAAGAAAAACAAAATTATTAAAGGAAAAAGCAAAATTAAAAAACTCAAGACTACGTACATAGATATACACTTAAAGATATTTATGCATATAAAATAAGTATTGGGGTCAACTAACCCTATACTAAGTCAAAGTGCATGGAAATTTTGTGCAATAGTGTGAACGTGGGTCACCCAGTCAGACTACAAAAATGCAGAAGGAAAATAATACAACAACAACAACGGAAAATTGCCAATATGTGGGGCCATACCGTCTCGAGAAAACACTCGGCAAAGGACAAACTGGTATGTACAATAAATCTGTCTACATCTACATACATACAAATACAAATATATAAACATACAGATAAATATGCACATACATACACCCGGCATGCAATATATACGTTCGTATATATGTAAATATACATATGCATATGTTTATATAGTGACTAGTTTCCTGCATAATTTCGATTAAGTTTACAAATTTTGATAGACGAAAGCAAAGTGGAAGACGCTTTTTAAATGAGTCAGTCAGTTGAGAGCAAAAGCATGCTAGCAATAGCAAAACTTTATTCTAATTTCAATTCTAAAAAGGGCAAAGTATGCATCACTATCAATATAAAAAGTGAGCAGACATTCTCCTCCTCAGCGCTGAATAGGAATAAACGTAGTTTATGTTAACCACTGTTATATCATCAAACAAGTATCGGCTTTATTATCGGCACATGATTTTGGCTTAATTTAACCATATCTTTACGTCCGTTTGTTTTTAATTGGTCTATTGGTATAACGTTCACGACTGAGATGGCGAGTTGAAACTTTATTCTTTGATATTGCTTACGACTAATATTGAAAATGGAAAATTATTCGTTTATAGGCTAACCAAAAATACAAAAAAACAGAACAGAACGTTCTAACGTTCGATCTGTATGAGATATTTAATCTGGAACAGATATTGACTAGGTCCAAATTAGTGATCCACCCGGAGGAAGAGAGAAAAAAGAAGCAATACTTGGAAAACTTTAACTCAGCAATATTTTGCAGCAAATCTATCTTTAGTAATTGAAATGCGTTGGTATGCAACTTAGGTTAGAATTAGATCCGTTTTGACACCATGTATGCATGGATATGATATTTTTGCTGCAAAAAAAAAAACGGTTGCAAATGTCGTGAAAAGTCACACGTTCGGTCGTTAGAAGGCAAACCTTTATTAGGCTTGCATTGACTTTAAGACGAAAAGAAAGCTTGGTTCCTGACGAAAGTTTTCGTGGCCACCAAAGCCAAGATGGCGGAGAAGCAAAGGTTAAGTGGCTCGACTTCAATTGCCTCCTCGTAAATCCTGCGAAATTCAACGTAAACATGATTTCGGTTCGCTGTATGCTTTGCCAGTCGCCATTATAACATTTGTTCGTACACTCGGAAATTGTTAAACTAACGGAAATGCCTTGAGGTTTCGCACTGGCGTTCTGTCCCCCTGTCACATCGCCCCCATACGCATTCTATAATTTTGACCTTCCTTGAACATAATTTTCACCTTTTCGCTGGTAATAGCGGAAAAGTACGCCGAAAACGCCGCTTTCGACTTTCCATATTTGGTAAGGCAACAAAAGAAATCTTTTGCTCAGAATCAAACACAATTTTTCCCGCACAAGTATTAAGATATCAGCTAACAAATACAGGAAGACAGTGCGCATTAAATGTGAAAAAATGGTGAAATGACTTCCCCAACAACAACAATATTGAAAACCGTACAAAATATAAAATATTTTCGATTGATAAAACAATAAAATCGTTTAGTGTGCCCGCAAAGAGACTGACGCTGGGTGCGACTGTCAATAAAACGTGAAAAGGTTCTATGTATAGAGACGCAGAAGAGGTTTATACGAAATGCGATATCTTCAAATAGTTTACAAACTGGCCCATGTTTAATAAATAATTTTGTGCCTCCGGGGGTTCAACCCTAGTTGGGAAATCATTCTAGCTGTCTGGCCTCGAATAGGCAAAGGAAGGCTGATTTAATAAAAGTTTTCCAGTTTAGTCATTTTTGCTTATTCTCTCTCGGCAAATTCATTAAGAAACGAGGTCACTATTATTGTGGCAGTAAATATTTACTTTGCTTTTTTCTTGTTTTTCAATTGCTTTTCTTTTTAACGTAAAGCAATGGAAATGTGCCATAATATATATATTTATATATCAGTGATCGTAAGGATTGGTGTTAATTATAAACTCTTCCCTTCAAGGCCCGATTTTGAGCACAACACTATTCATCAATGCAACACTTAAGCTTATCTAACGATTTATTGATTAATCCACTTAATGAAATTTTACGTCAAATTCGCTCTGGTGTGTTAATAAATTTTTCTTCTCCATTCACAATATTTTCGACGCGGCTTGGCAAAACTTTCTAAATTTAAACATCATCATCTGGCATTAGAATACTAAGATATTTCGCATTGTACTGATTAACACAACGTCGCATATTAATAAATCCTTGCTAAGGGTATTGTCGTTAATAATTTGCAGCAAGAAATATATTTTCCCACTGTTGTAAGAAAACTTGAAAAGATCCGCTGTAAGGTAAATAAATTTATCGGCGTTGTCCAGTTTGGAATGCAATGCTTTTAGAAATATGCTGACACTTTCTCGATGATCAGACTCTACATGAATTCAAATACCGGATATATTAACTCTGAGCGAGTTTGAGTATGCAGGACTAAGAGTAATTCGGGATAGATACAGCTTTCATTATGTTAATCGACCCAAAATCACTTATTCAATTCTCTTAAGCCCGCCTGCTTATCCTCATGCATTATAATAGATGTAGAGTTTGAAGTACGACGTACAGGTCATAAATTATGCCTTGCCTCCCTACAATATTCTAAGCTAGCTTTCTATACAATTTGCAACCACAATTATAGTAGCATGGCATCTACTCTCTTTTTTAATTTTTGTTTTTGCATAGACTGGAATCGCTTATCCCTCAAATGACGCTCGTTTTAAGTATTGTACATACGATGAATGTTACACTTGAGAACCGCAACTACTTGAATTGTTAGAAGATAATGTCAATAGCATTACAAGTAGTGCTGATAAGGCAAGATGCGTTTGCGACCCTTTTTGTTGTTTTATGCACGAAATAGTAAAAACAAAGGGTGAGACGAAGTGAGTCGTGGAAAGATTTTCTTGCTTTTATTTACTTAGTTAACAATAACCTTGGGCAAGTTTAGTCATATTATGTAAATTATTTTATAACTTCTAAGAAACTCAATGTCTCGATATTCTGAAAATAGTCTACGCACTATATAAGTAAAATGTTAATGATGTTAATGATAATTAAGGCCGTATTAATAGATATATCGTTTAAAAGCATCGTAATGAAATTGCAGGCTTTCGGAATAATCCCAATTTAATGATAGCGGCATTTATTGTATAGCTAAACTAATCACTCAACTTACATTAACATTTTACTTAATAAAGTTCGCCAACTACTTTTACTTTTATTGAGAATCATTATCTAGGAGAGGGTGCGAAAAACAAATTTTTATGAGGTGCATATAAAACGAGGGCCATTTTTTATTTTTCTCGAAAAATATTTATTTTGTCATCTTCAAAGTAATCTCTCTCTTGAATAGGCTTGTGCCGGCGCCTTTTACAATCCTCGAAACGCTTCTGATAGCGCTCCTAGCGATGCGGTCTGTAACCCCTTAGTCGTGGTAAGACTTCGTCCGTCCGTCCCTTCATGTGTCTTTTACGGTGACTGAGACATGATTACGGTGGTGTTGTTTTTAGCCAGAAAAGTGTGAGTGTGCCTTGCAATTGCGGAACAAACTTCGTTGCCGAACATCCGGATCCATGCCTTAAACATCCGAAAACATTGCATAACAAAAATGCAAATTTTCCACATCCATTAAATAAATAAAAAACTGTTAAGACTATACCACTGACGAGTAATATTTTTTCTTTTTTCTATACAACAAGCTTTGCGAACTATTTTGTTGTAGGAACGGGCGGACAAATAGGTTTAGATCGTTTCGTAAAAAGATGCTGAATCGATTGACGTCATTAAAATTAGTGAATGTGACAGTCCCATACATACACTAAAACTTAATAATATGCTTATCACAGGTGTGACACAGGGTATAAAAACTGTAAAATGGATAAGATGTTGTTGAGACATCCTACAACTAATGTACAAAAAGCCTATTATTCATGATAAGTGTTTGTGTATATGTACTTATGTTATGAGTTTCTCGTTTTTCTTATTTCTTATAAAATACAAAGCAAACTTATTTTTATTGATTCCAGATCCGATATAATTTTGAAAATAGGTCTTATGCTTGCATGCACTACAATGCGATCCATACGAGCCGACAATAATCCAAGTTCTCTCTACTAACTGATTGTTTCATAGAAATTGCAAGTTATACGTCCGCTCTTTTTATACGAAAAATGCCGCCAGCTTTAACTCTTCTAATTTTAAGAGTTAACTCACTTGAACCTAATATCCTAAAATCCTCAATCCTTAACAATAGGCATAGCACATGAAGAAACAAACTTCATATATTCTAGAAAGTTCTACAATCATTGAGATATTGTAAGTAAATGTGGCTGTGTTCTTCCCTCCTTCTGTCTATTAATCCCTGACATACTATACTGAATATTGAGGTATTTTCAAAGACCGAGTTCAATTTAAGCTACAGCTAGACTTGGTTGGGCCACTATCAACATTTGACAGTTGAGAACAGATAATGATTTTATAAAAATACAAAAACTTTTTCAATTTCTTTTCAACTTAATGAATAGATTAACTTATGTAAATCACTTTAAAAGATATTCTCATTTCAATATAGGTCTGGTTAAATTGGGTGTACATTGTGTTACTGGGAAGAAGGTCGCCATTAAAATCATAAATCGCGAGAAACTCAGCGAATCCGTGTTGATGAAGGTGAGTACGAATAATGATGTAAACAATTAAACAAATGCAATTTCGTTTGTTTCTATATCCGTGTGGATAAAATGATTGCATTGAGGTCATCTTAGATGTGAAACATAGCTGCGTAAAATCGTATACAATCAAGTCATCTAAAAAGGCGAACATTTAAACACAGTGCATAGCAAATGTTAAGAAAAAAAAAAAAACTTAGTTGTTACTCATGCTGTCTTGCCTTTCAGAGGCAATTTTTTTGTTTTTCTTTTTCGTACATGTCACGAATATTTTCCTATTTAAAGACAGAAATTGTACCAGAAGAACTTTGAGAACTTGAAGGATGTGAATAGAAAGGCGAAAGAACCAAGTGCGATAAGATATCCGAGTAAGAATGGATGAACAATTAATTCTATGAAAACGCCAGAAGTAGGATTGAGAAAAGGATGTTGATAGAAACTTATAAACGGACAGACGTCCGCATGTGCCAGCAAACACAGGTAGAAATAAGCGTAAAACTCCTATCAATAAATACAAGATTGAAGCAAGGGGTCTGTTAAAGTATTTACACAATTGTTTTATTGTCGCACGGATGTACGGATAAAGAGAGATACAGATAGAAATATAGATGAATTGATGAGTGCTATGGTAGAGGTGTGAGCTTACGGACACAGAGGTATATATATGCCCCGAGGGATGCACAAACAAAATCAACTCAAAATTATATAATCGGCAAGTAAATTTCTCTCTTATGGTTAGTTGTTCTCGAGTATTTAAAGTATAGGAATAGGAAAACTGTTAGCAGAACCTTGCGGAATCTTTGGGAATAAAAAGTTTAACCTATTGCGCGAATGGGACGAGAGCACGAAAATTCTTTTAATATTTTATACTATATAATGTCGTTTTTTGTACGATGATTATATCGCATGTCATTGAATGTATTGAAGATTTAGCGACAAGCTAAGATGTTTACTTGTTTCTGAGCATTTGTGTTATTCGTATGTAACCAGTGAAAAAGAGGCAAACCATCGTTTACATTTAATACAGTTCATGTGCTTTCTTGGTCAGAGAGCACTGTGCTAGATATCAACAAATGAGTACGAAGAATAGACGTCCTTTCATATCCTACATACGAGTGATTGTTAATGCATTGTACATAAGATATTTTTGATGTTTACAATTTTTATATTTGCGTGTAGGCATAATTTCTGTTGTTTCTATTATTTCAAAATCACTTGTAATTTATAAAAAAATAAAAAAAAAAAAAAATAAAAAAAAAATAATAATAACATAAAAAAATAATAATAAAGAAAACACGCAATCTTGTTGTTGTAAGTCTCACCTTGTCCCCTATATTTCGTCACGTTCCTATTGTCCGCATAAATTTGCTTTTAATTGTGATTCGAAATTTCTTTTGTCACACTTGTGTTGACTTTCTTTCTCACACACTCTCCTTCAATATGCATGTGCTCAAATATACATACATACATACATACATACATACATACATACATCTATGTTTATATATAATATGTATATATGTATATATGGGTATATACAAGTGCTTAAAATAAATGGATTTAATTCCACTTATGAGCACCACGTATATAGCACTCTATAAACGTTCATGAGAATGTGCACATATCTAGCCACTTAGCTGTGTAATTAGGTTGAGAAGTTAATGTCCTTTTGAAAATCAATATCATTGCAAGTGCCTTCGGTTTATTTATTAGTAAGTATTACTTCTTATTCCAAGCTTTCTTAAATAGGGAGTATTCAGTCAAAGACTTAACCTCTTTTATACGCACCACCGAACTATATATGGGTATATTCGGCGTGCCAGAATGCTTGCAGTATTCAGATGGAAGACTCATAGACACTATAAAGTGCAAATAAATTAAAAGCAAATTTTTCTGTGTCCGTTTGTCTAATGTCTGTTTTAAGCATTCTTCGATGAGGCTATCGATTTTAAATTTCTAACATAACATTGCAAGTTCTTGCACGCAGCCTGATATCGAAAATGGGCCAAATTAGACAAAGGACAAGTTCGCAGCATAATATAATTTGGGAGCATAACTGTTTTCAATAGCTAAAAACAAAAAAGGATTAAGCAAACTGTGTTTTTACTAATACGAACTCATGCTCAATGCAATAAATAGAACGACACACAATTTACCCATACATCCTGGGGCTGTATGCAAAGCATGTACAAATATGGGAAAAATCGGTCATGGCAAATATTATAAAATATCGGAATTTTATGTTGTGCTGCTTGTTTGAGTTTAATTTTTGTTAAGATAAACGTGATGGGTGTAAGAGATTCGGCCACGATCAAGTATAACTTTATTTGATTTATTTTATTTATTTTTTTGTTCTTATTTATATGATTTTAGGTGGAACGTGAAATAGCTATAATGAAATTAATCGATCATCCGCACGTGCTTGGGCTGAGTGACGTCTATGAAAATAAAAAATATTTATACTTAATTTTGGAACATGTTTCCGGCGGTGAGCTGTTCGATTATCTAGTTAAAAAGGGTCGCCTAACCCCAAAGGAAGCGCGTAAATTTTTTCGGCAAATAATCTCAGCTTTAGATTTTTGTCATTCTCATTCCATATGGTAAGGAGCGTGGAGACAACTCTTAAATAGCTAAATGATTCAACTATTCATCGATTTGAATTGTATTTCAATTCCAGCCACAGGGATTTGAAACCTGAAAATTTATTATTGGATGAGAAAAATAATATCAAAATCGCAGATTTTGGTATGGCATCGTTGCAACCGGCGGGATCAATGCTGGAGACATCGTGCGGGTCTCCGCATTATGCTTGTCCCGAAGTCATAAGAGTACGTTAAACTTTTTCACATTTTTATTATTAGGTTTTTCACTCTTTCTCTCTTCCAACTGACGGTAACTTTATCTATATACACAATTGCTGAGAAAAATGAAACATTTCAACGGCTTAAAGTGTTTATTAAGTGATTTTTTTTTTGTTTTTTTTTGTTTTTCGTTTGCCGTTTTAATTTAAGGGTGAAAAGTATGATGGCCGTAAAGCGGATGTTTGGTCTTGTGGCGTCATCTTGTATGCTTTGCTTGTTGGCGCATTGCCTTTCGACGATGACAATTTAAGGCAACTATTGGAGAAAGTTAAGAGGGGTGTGTTCCATATACCGCATTTTGTGCCACCCGATTGTCAAAGTTTATTGCGTGGCATGATTGAAGTGAACCCTGATCGGCGTCTAACGGTGAGTCATTTATTACATAAAAACTCCATTAATGATTGTAATGTCGATGTTATTAATGCGATTGCCGACAATCAGCGTTTAAGAATATCGTTCGTACCTTCTTGATAGATGACGTAATGCAAACATAGATTTCCTTTTTTCATTATCGATTATATGTTTGCAAATATTAGCGTAAAGTTTAATGTTGAAAAGCGAATTAATATATTTTATTGTACATTTTTATTACATATATAGTTGGCGGAGATAAATCGCCATTCTTGGGTTACAGCCGGTGGCAAGGGGGAATTGGAATTAGAATTGCCGATGATGGAAGTTGTGCAAACTCACGTTATACCATCCGCTTCGGCAGTGGATCCTGATGTACTAAACGCAATTTGTTCCTTAGGTTGTTTTAAGGAAAAAGAAAAACTAATTCAAGAACTATTGAGTTCAAAGTAAGTTAAAGAATCTACTTCGCAAAATGATTGTTCTATTTAAATATTCGTTGCAACAAATTTATTGCTTGCAGTCATAATACCGAAAAAGTCATATACTTTTTATTACTGGATCGAAAACGAAGACGTCCAGCTTTAGAAGATGACGATGAGATTGCCCAGAAGTCACGCAGTGAACTGGACGCTATTGATCCGCCCAGAAAACGTTTAGATACATGTCGCATTAATGGCACAAATTCACCGAGCTATGGACAAATATCAGAAGGATCTCCGTTAACACCCAGAAGACAAGCCTTTAAGTGAGTGCTCTCGAAATCTTATTATACTTGTTCCGGTATTTAGAATGTCTGCAAAATGCTTATTAATCTGATTTAAATCACAAACATTTTGTGTTCTGTAGTTTAATGTATTCTGTTGATATCATCGGGCATACATACCAACCGCAATAACGCTTGAATTATAAAAAGTAATTTTTATTCGGAAGAAATTATTTCATAACTTGCTAGAGGAAGAGTCGGGCACGCCGTTATCGATAAATTGTTTCGGAATGTTTCTTATACTATGAAGTCTGCGTCCCATTACAAATGTTTTCGTTTTTTTAAGTCCATCTGTTTACAACTAAATCATATATTGCGTATGACTTTTAAAGAAAAAAAAAAAAAAAAACAAAAAACAAAAAAATTAAAAAGGAAACGAAACAAAACGAAAAAGTACAAACTTTATAAAATCGATACCAAAATACATGGCTTACCTTTTCGTAGCTTACGAGCCCTGACCAACTATTTATAAACGAAATATTCGCGATAGATTTCGAAGATTTGTTTTCGATTGAATTTAGTTTCGTTTTATTTAAACAAGCAATAAGAGGACCATATAAGCAATCAACTTCTTTATATCATTTATATTAAATGTTTATTATTAATATAAAAGCAAGAATATCTCTTTGTATACTTTTTTTTATGATACACAAAACATAATTGTACTACGTGCGTATACATATATATATATATATATACATATATAATATATCATGCATTTATTTCGTTTAATTTCATGTTGTTACTGCCATTCGCTTGCCACTTGTAATTGCTTTGTGATCTCATATCACGTCATATACTGTCATCATTATCATAAACCCCAAAATTCCGCAATAACAGCTTCCGGTCCTACAGTAGTACGCGCAATCATCAGCGACGTTCACCTACTTCGGTTTCCTCGATGCGTTCTTCTTCATATCATAGCCCAACCAGATGTAATTCACCAATTAACTCGGCTCAGCAACAGACCAATGCACTGTCCAGACCATCGTCTCCAGCTTCCTCATCAAATCACTCGTCCAGACATTCCAATTACGGGGAACGGGAACGCTCCAGTTCAGTGCATCATCCACCCGGCAGTAGAACGTCATCACATTCATCGCAAACTTGCTTAGAAGGCATGCCAGCAAATGAAATTATTGTAAGAGAAGCGCGTGAAAGACGTGAAATGCATAACGAGCGCTCGTCTACAGTTCAAACAAGTTGTGTACCGGGTAATCCAGCTGCCAATTCGACAACGGTACATCAAAGAGCCAATTCGGGGCCAACAATTGCAATTAGCATGTTTCACGATCCTGATGCCAATAATGGTGAGTGGAGAGATTCGAATATTAAATGAGTGACAGAGGAATTCAAAATTTATAGAGAAAAAATTATTTATTGCAGTTATGAATCCAACACCGTCACCTTTAATGAACAACAGTTCTGCTGCCATGCCAGGATCACCGTGTAATGCACCCGGTGGACAACTTTGGAAGACAAGACTTACAAATATTAAAAATAGTTTCCTTGGTAGTCCACGCTTTCATCGAAGAAAACTTCAAGGTACGTCTGTCTAATTGTCGTTCTTATATCAAAGTTGTGCTAATATAAATAATTTTTTTTTATTTCTTTTTCTAGTTTCCGCTGATGAGGTTCATTTAACGCCTGAATCATCGCCGGAGTTGACAAAACGCTCTTGGTTCGGTAATTTGATAACGACTGAGAAAGACGAGACTTTTACAATATTGGTGAAGGGTAAACCAATAGCCACTGTAAAGGCTCATTTAATACACGCCTTCCTGTCGGTACGTTGCTTAAATATTCAATACTCTAAGGAAATTCACTTCACTTTTATATTTATTTTTATTTTAATTTTTTTCTATATTCGCTAGATGGCCGAACTATCGCATAGCGTAGTATCGCCAACTTCATTTCGTGTCGAATATAAGCGAAACGGAAATGGTCCAGTCATGTTCCAGAGACATGTTAAATTTCAGGTAAACTATTCTCGTTATTAGCAATAGTTTAGTCCAACAAAAATACTATTGCTGCTATAATGTGAAACGATGTGAAGCTGCAACGCAGTGAAATCGTATTAAAGGCATCGATTTTCCACTTAACCAACGTTCGTACAAAAGTGTTTCGCGACGAATTATAGATAGTTCGAAACTTCAAAATTTTTTAATGCAACATCCAAACACCTATTAGGATATGAATGCTCATCACTGCAGCAATGTGTTCCCAATTTAAATAATTCTACTCCTTAGGAATTGAGATAAGCCATTACACACACACTACTTTATTGAGTTAGTGGGTAATTTAATAGAGAAATTGCATAGTGTTCGCATTTGTTATATGTACGGAGGGGTTTAAGTTAAAATTTTTACTCGCTGACATTTTAAAGTCAAGATCTGTGACATCTGAACGTGAGAGCAAAGAATTTTTCGTTTTGATGTATTCTCCATTTTTATTTCGTATCGTAAGTTGCCAAAACGTGACGTATCGCGTAGGCCGGAGGAATGTCGCAAGCGACAATGTATAGACGACGCGACGAGAGCTATTGAATTTGTGAGATTTTCATCTTCAAGATGCTTCTTCGCGATTTGATCGATCAGTGACTACTGATAACGGTTAAATGAAGATTTTAAATGAAACCCGATCATATTCTACGAGTAGCGGACATCGCCGTTAATATTTATATTGATCATACAACTACGATCTGAGGCTCCAATGTACGAATTATTTGAATATATGTAGTATAACGACCGGCAGAAATGCGGACGGTTAAAGAAGCGTCTTTTTCTTTTTTTTTTTTTTTTTGTTAAAATTTTTTCAGTCGCTTAGAAAGTGAAAGTGCAATTTTCTTATTATTTTCAGGTTGATATAAGTGCTATTTGTAAACAAGGTGATATAGCTGATATGCTATTTGCTCTGACGTTCACGCTATTATCGGGTAAATAGATTTGAAGTCACTCTAAGAGAAATTCGTACGATTGCAAACTTTAATTGCAGGCAATATAAGAAGATTTCGACGTATTTGTGAGCATATACAGTCGCAAGTATGTTCAAAACGATTTCCAGGGCCCAGCAGTCCACCCACAGTTCCCACAGTAACTCAAGCGGTGTCGGAGAGCTCATCATGTGGTTCAGTGTCCAGCGAAAGGTTATCGTATAAACGACAGGTAAAACCGAATGAATATTAAAACTTAATCTGATGATCATTGAAAAAAAAAACAACTAACAATTTTTTCATTTTCCGTTAGCCAATGGAAAATGAAATCGAAAGTGATACAATATTTACATACAAATCTGGTAATAGTCGACGCTCATCTGCCACAAATAACAACAATGCCAATTCAGTGGATTTAAGACCTAACAGTCCCATAGCTTTACGATCTAAGTAAGTTTGTTACGTTTAATTGAAAGATTTTGGAATGCATTGAGATGAGTGTTGAATTAATTGCTTTCATTAGTAGTTCGGAAACGGGTGAACAAGAGAACAGTCGTGAATTGCAGACTGAACGTCAGGCGACAACAATGTCCGGGAGTGCAATAGCATGAGAATTATTTCTCTGATTTGGTTGCAAGTTTTCCCAACATTATAATTACTACTACTACGTTTTTCGTATACTTAACGATGTCTTCGAATGTCGTTCTATGATAACATAAACTATACTACTATTCCTAAAGAAATAATACATAACTTACCTCTATACACAAAACAAATACATACACATACATACACGCACACGCAACAAACAAACAAACATATAAACAAACAAATACATACATACATACATACATACATTCATATATACATACATGCAATCATACAAAGCCACGCAAATCCACATACAAATACTTATTCAAACCAAATTGTACTACTTAATGGAAGCAATAAAATAGAAAAACAAAAACAAGAAAAAAATATAAATAATAATAAAAAAACAACAACAACAACAACAGCAAGAATAAGAACAACAAAAATTACAAATACGTACACCTTCAGGCGTTAAAAGAAAAATTTATTAAAAATATGTGAAATTATTGCATTTAAAAAAAAAAAAAAAAAAAAAAAAAAAAAAAACAAAAAAAAATTAAATGAATACAACCACAAAAGGTAAATGAGAGACGTTCGAGAATGAGATGTGAGAGCGGAAGTGATGGCCAAATGAAAACAAATTAAATTATTATACGAAGAATGACTGTTACTCCGCAGCCTACACTGCATGCTTAATACGCTTGCTTCTCTATTTCCTTCATTTCTTATTTTACGCATACGTACATAGATACACGTAGATACAAACATACGACTATTTGTATTCTTAAACAGATCGCAGGTTGTTTTTCCTTTCATTTTCTGACATTTTAAACGAAAATTTACTAATTTTTAGTTACGCTATATGAGTTTTTTTTTTTTTAAATTAAAAAGATAACAAAAAAAGGAAATTTAAAGAAAAGAAAAACCAAAAACTACATTGTTGCCGCCGAGCCGAAAAACAACAATAACAAAACAAAGAAAAAAAAATGCTTGAATTTATTCTAAACCAAAGTCAGTGAAAATTTTCATATACATATAAATAAAAACTTAATGTAATTATAGGATATAAAAATAAAAAAAAAAAAAAACAAAAAATTATGAAATGAACTTAAAAATACTCAAAATATTTAAGAAAGAAAAACAAAAACGATAAATGGATAAATAAATAAATAAATAAAAGAAAAGAAAAGAAAAAAAATTAAATTAACAAGAGAGAGTATACATAATAAATTATTAATTAAAAGCCGAAAAAATAAAAATTATTTTGCAAATTATTTTTAATAAGCATACACATGAGTACATATTTAAATAAACGTATAAGAGTGAAATATAAATTTATGTATGTAATACTCATATAATTTTCTTCTTTTTATAACTACTTTATGCCTTTTTGCCCCGTTACTATCAATAAAAGTTAGGAGTAATTATTATAATACTGTGAAATATAAAAGCAAACAAATAGACAGATAGACCGACAGACAGACAGACAGATAGACCGATAGATACGAAAAATACACGTTCAGCCATACCATAATGTTTTTTTTGCACTTAATACAAACTTTTACGTTCGAGAAAACACTGCAACATACGCATCTAATCTTAATACATAGGAGATGCGGTTTAAACCAAAAGTTCATGTTCATCGAATTTGCTTTACTCTTTAGTTGCTACAGCCAGCCATTGTCTCAATTAATTGCTTTCTACTCAACTACTCTTTTGGATTGACAAATCGCAAGTCCTAGCTCGATAATCAGAGATTAGGGATTAATTGTTGAACGGTTGAACGATTGACCAATTTTGAAGTATAATAAACCGATCGATTTAATTACTTATTCTCTTTAAGAATCAGGAATTTCTTAAGGAAATGATTTCAAATGCTTTACTTACTTTAATTTAAATGCATAACAGATACATATTGATGTAGAGATGTTTTTAGGCCATTAGCGCATGAATAGCGCATAAAAATGAATTAACTTCAAATCAATGCTTGATATGAGATATTTTTTGAGTAGCTTAAAATTGTTAATAAGAAGTGCAATCAGATGCTCTATTAAAGGTTTCGATATATATATATATATATATATATATATATATATATATACAGATATTCGAAAAATTATTCTTCCTCTGTTGATTTATATATATTTTATTAATCACTTTTTATACCCATCGCCGAAAAATGATTTTTCAAAACGCTTGCAATGCCCATCTAGAAGCTTCAAAGTTTATATATATATTCGTGATCACCATCAAATTCTGAATTGAATTAAGCATTCCCATCTGTTGGTCTATTGATCTGTCCGTTTGCGTATAATCTTTTGTAGGCACTCGCTTGGCTGCAAAAATGAAGTTAGCGACTTTACGGTAGAAGGTAGTACAGTACGATAGAAACATTGCGAGCTCTTTCATGCAATTTAATAGTGAAAACCGGCCGATTTCGTTTTCCAAAAGTTATAGAAGATTGATTTTTCGCTCTTCACTCAAACACACTACAGCAGATAAATCTATAAGGATTTGAGCGTACACACTACGAGTGATGCTTTGGCACTTGTACAGAAATCGGGACAATTTACAACTTCTACCCAATATTATAGGGTATCAAAATTTCATTTTTTTTCCACTACTTTAATAACGCGGAGAATCGAACTACATTAACCCCATAAAGTATCAAAATTCTTGGGCAGTTTGAAATTCCGAATGCATCCAAGCATGTCCGTCTTACTTGTTTTCTTTTTAAATTACTGGTTTTAACATGCGCTTATGTGCTTGTATGTGTAATATTACAATCTATGCTACATCTATATTATACCACAAACTATAGTAAATTATTTAAAATTTTGATTGCACGCATTATAATGATTTGATGAAAACTTGATTTTTCTCTACCGGCCCACCTTTACATAGTGTCAATTAGTTAAATAGTTTAATTATAATATTCATAAAGAAAAATGTTTACGTACATTATGTGTGCACAATGGGTATGTACGCCTGCTTTTACCATCAAAGGGAAAATATTAAAAACTTGATATAAAATTTAAGCAAGATTTTCACTTGACAATGCCCAGCTCCCTGCTTGGAAACTAAGATATTTGATAGAAAATTTACTCCCAAAAAGGACTTTTCGTCGAGGTTTTCTTTTTTTTTTTAATTTCAACGTACTTTTAGTATTGTACTGTTTCAAACCTTTACTTGGCATATATTAAAGTTTTCCATGGCCATCATCCAAAATTTGGTAGAGGTATGAATCGTGTCCGTATTCGATCCAAGGACACGTATTATCTTGAGGCTTTGGCTTAGTTAGGCTGTTTCGCCGCCCCACCCCCCGCCCCGCGCCCCTCTCCCATTTATTCATTTGCACGTTCATTCGCTAACGGCCTATTTCACAGTTCCCCATCCCCATCATCCATCCGCCTAGCACTCCTTCTTGCAATAGGTTACGCATAGGCTTTGTTATATATCTATCCATAAGTCCGTCTAATTTTTATCCATCAACTCCATTTGCCCATCTATCTGTTTATCCGTTTATGCACATTTCTATGTACCTTTAAAGTATATGCATTCATTACTTCACTTATCCTCTCATCCGGCGTATTTCTGTATCCATTTATGCATGTTTTCATTTATCCATTCCTCTGTTTATCAATGTGTCCGCATCTAGCCATTTATACTTCTTTTTATTTACGCACTCGGCATATTATTATTGCATTAACCCTATCCATAGTTGAAGTTTTCAAACTGTCACATGATTCAATTTTGCATCTCGACTAGAGAATTCAATCTGATTAGATTAGACAAACACACATTAGCGGGAAAGTTGCAAATACGAGATATATTTGTTATGTTAGGAATGAATTCTATGTTCTACGTATATACCGATTTGAAATCTGTAATAACTAATATCAAATGTGAAACTTTCTAATAGGTGGTCAGGGTCGATAATTCGTCGTCTTAAGAATGGGTGTACATTTAGTTCATTCGAAGACTATTCAAGGATGAAAACTTTGTATTTGATCCAATTTCTAAACTTGGGCACTTATCTGAATAGCAGTAGGGTGTAATAAGAAGCAAATAAGTTATGATGTTTTGTTCCGTGAATTAAATTAAATTGAAAACCCTTTCACCTATGCATCAGGTATGTGTGGTCTTTGTTCAATGAATTGTAGTGCATTAAGATGTTTTAATTTTCTTTTTTTTTTTTTTTTTTTTTGTGCTGATTACAATAATTGAAAATGTAATGAATAAGCGAGAGAAAAAAATAGATTTATTCCTTCGGTAAATCTAACAGAAGCCGTCCACTTTTTGCAGAAAGTTCTTCAAAACAATTTTCATTCATTTCTTTTCAAATTCAATTGAAAAACGATATTTATTTTCTTTTTTTTCTTCTTTTTTTTTTTTTTTGAATACTTCGAACAAATTATTTCAGTTATAAAACGGGCATACAAACACAAAAACAAACACGTAACTGTTATTGCAAAGAATTACCAAAAAAAAAAAACAAAAAAAAAACAAACAAAATAAATAAATAAAAATAAAAATCAGACGAAGAAAAAGCAAAAAAAAAAAAAACCGCACTTTGAAAATTTATGCAATGCATGTCTGAATAAACTGCAATTTAGAAATTAAATGAAAAATATTGTAAAGCAATTTAGGTTTTAAACAAAAAAAAAAAAAAAAAAAAAAAAAAAATAAAACCAAACAACACACAAGAAATACTAATAACACAATCAAGAATTAAAGAATAAACAAAACTTACATAAGTAGTTAAATGAAATTAAAGCGATTTGCAGATGTGCAATAATCAATGGAATGCTAGAGAAACACTACCCCCCAGGGTCATTGATATCGAATAGCTCGTTTATGGTTTTTAAATTAACTTTCATATCCACCACTACCACCACCACCACCACCAAGAGACACAGTTAAGCATAATACACAAAGTTTTTTCCGTCTTTCCGTCCGGCCATTTATCTAAATTCTACTACCAGTCATCAATGCAAGTAAAAGTGAAAGGTAAATAACATATAATATAAATATATGTGTACAAAGGCTTACGAATGAAGGCAGCTTAATAGCATAAAAACAAAAAAAAAAAAAAAAAATAACAACTTTATTTTAACTCAAAGGCATATTAAAAACGAATATTTCAAAAAAAGAAAAGGTATAATGTCTGAAGACAGAAGTTATTGAAATCCCATTTGTATTAGAATGCGAAAGACTAAGTTACAT